AGCTTTATAAGATGCGAAATAATATATCATGCATATTTTAAAGGCAACGTTTTATTAATGTGCTAGCAGTATTATAATCATATCTTAATCCCTTATTTTAACTTACAAGCGCTAAATAGCAATGATAAACCCATCCTAAACATTAATTCATTATAAGTTATCCTTCTTTTTAATATTGCTTATAACATTAGCATTTATCCCCTTAAGCTATAGCGCTTTAATAACTTAAGCTGCTATATAATCATTTACTACACTAAGGTATGGCCCGCTAAGCTAGTAGATAATGAGAAGAAGCCATTAAAAGATGATTTCCTTAAGGAATTTTTTGGTGCAAAGGCTATCATGGTAAATAATAACGGTGCTAGGGCCAAGGTTAATAACGTAAATTTTATTAAGCTTTGCTTGCTACTTTTAAGAAAGATCATTAAACGAAACCAAATAAAGGCCCTTTGCTATAAGGATATCCTTATAATAATTATTCATTACCTCGTTATAAGGCGAGCCACCTTAACTATATCCATTAAGTTTATTTATTACAAGGGATATAATAATAAGCTAAAACTATATATTTATGCTTTATTATAAGGGTATAAGGTATATTAATTTAGTTTAAGACAATCTTTTTTTTACACTTTTCAAAAAGCTAATATTTTACCTTATATTGCTTTTCATTATTATTGCATTATTTAATGGCGCTTTTAACTTATAATATTTAAAGAATATAACTTTTATACTTAGCGTAAAGGTCTTACCTAAAATGCACTACTTACCGCTATGCTGGAAAAAGTTTATAGAGAAAACCCTGTTCTTTTATTAAGTTGCTAGGGATGGCGCCATTTCTAAGGATAAAGCTATGCTATATGCTACTTTAAGGAATCATATGGGCAACCAAAGCCAGGATGCAGGGTTTAAGGAGCGTTAAACCCCTAAGTTTAAACGGAAAGGTGCTGCAAATACTGCTAATAATATATCATTATTTCGCCCTATAAGCATTAATTGCTAAGCTAATCACTACCTTATAAGGAACGCGCTGGATTTTATTTACAATTAAATAATAAAGCATAACCCTTAATTCTTTATATTTTAAAATGCTTATTTAAACTAAATCGCTAAGTTTCACTTATAAAATACCTTTTTAAAAGAAATAAAAGATTAAATATTTTAATTGCTTATATATATTAGCTTAACCCATAACCCTTATGCTATAAGAAATATAATTTCCTTATAAATATAAGTAGATTTACCTTTAAATTTAAAAATTACATTTTATTAATATTTTATTAATTATTTTATTAATATTTTATTAATATTTTATTAATATCTTATTAATATTTTATTAATATTTTATTAATTCTTTTATTAATTCTTTTATTAATCCTTTTATTAATTCTTTTATTAATTCTTTTATTAATTCTTTTATTAATTCTTTTATTAATTCTTTTATTAATTCTTTTATTAATTCTTTTATTAATTCTTTTATTAATTCTTTTATTAATTCTTTTATTAATTCTTTTATTTTATCTTTTATACTTTATATTTTATACTTTATATTTTATATTTTATATTTTATATTTTATATTTTATATTTTATATTTTATATTATATATTTATATTTATTTTTATATTTTTATATTTTTATATTTTTATATTTTTATATTTTTATATTTTTATATTTTTATATTTTTATATTTTATATTTTTTATATTTTTATAACTTTAACTAAGGTTGTTATTGCCTTTGTTTTATCGCTAGCCCGGCTGCTTAAACTAATAGTTATTAACTTTATATACTTGCCTATTACGGCTTGCCCACGGCTGGTAAAGATGCTATCTTTATTTACTATAAATGGGCCCTTTTTATAAGGCCATCCCTTTAGCGGTACCTTCCTTGGCGAGCGGATTGTTAGTAGCGGGTTTTCTTTATTAAGATCGCAATCAAGATACCAGTTCTTATGAATATTACCCTTATTAAGTAAATGGCTAGCCTCCTCCTTATTAAGTATATAGTTTATATAAATTAAGCCATATTAAGTATAAATAATGTAATTGCAGCTAAAGGGTATATAATACCCTCGTGGGGTCTTATGATTATAAATATAAATTATATATAATTTCGTTATTGAGAGAAGCCCTAGCGCCGCCCTTATAATTTAAAGAGGAAGCTTCCCCAGCTACTTTTAGCCGTTAAATTTCTCGAGGGCCGCTGTCTTCTAGCGGGCCTTCTTAAGATAAACTTGCTGGGCAGTATCTTTAAGGGCCTCATGAGCAGCCTATATGAGGTAGAGAATATTACTTATACTATAGCCTAAGTAAACCTTTACTTTCTAATATATTCGCTTGGTAAAGGAGGTTATATATAAGCTGAAGTTAAGGATCTTATAGGTCTTATAGGTAGTTTATTTAGTAACAATCTTCTCCTTCTCGTTAATATATTAGGTTTTAAGATAGTTAAGGATCTTTATCTGGTTTGAAAAGGTCTCTTAAAGGCGCTGCCAAGCTGTATTATAGGTTTTGCAATTAATGAAGTATTATATAAATTTAAGGAGGTTAAATAAAGCTGTTTAAGTATAAGGTATGTAATTAAGTACCTTTAAGGATATCTTTAACTTATTTCTCGCCGGGCTATTAAGCAAAGCGAGATCCTTATTATAATCTTTAAGATCTTTAGCCTTATCTTTATTGGTTACTTCTCTTTCTGCTGCTAAATCTAATAAATCGCCCTTTAACTTCCTTTACTTCTTCTTAATATTAAGGACCATATTTATATTTATATAAAAAATATATAACTAATACTTTAATTAAGAAAATTTATACTTTAAAGTATTAATTAAAGTAATATTATAGTTAGTAATAAATAATATCGGATTATTATTTTTATACTTTCTTAACAGCTTATAAACTTGCTTAAGGAGCTAGTAAAACCCGCTTTTACGCTTATTATTAATAACGCCTTAAAATAATAGCAAGATCTTTTTTATATATATAAGAATTATAGCTTAAAAGTATAGTATTTTCTTATTATTTATAAAATATATATAATTAAGGGAGAGATTATGAGAAATATTGCTTATAAAGCTACATTATTTATTACTTTTTATATTAAAAGATGCCCGTTATATTACCCTTATTATTACATATCTAGGAATATTAAGCACCCTTTTCTTTAAGGTAATTTAACGCCGCCTATACGGGTGTATAAATACTTTACTGCTTCTTGCGCTAGTTTACTAGCTAACCTTTTATTATATTGAGCCCCAATTGAATTAAGGGAAACTCTTGCTCAAGTGCTGCCTGGAGCTTCTTTAGCTTAGCGAGGGAAGGGTTTCAAGCCGTATGAGCGAGGAATTTATAATATTCTAGCAATAGCTTTACCCAGCCGCGCTAAGCTTCAGGATTTATTTAAGGACTGTAATTTATATAATAAGGATTATTAAGCTATAAAATTTACTTATTAAAAGTCTCTTTTATATAATGGGTAAGCGCTAATTAACTATAATTAGCTTTAATCGTGGTGGAGGAGTTTTTACTTATAATACTTGTGTGCGTTAAACCGTAACTATACTGCAAATAGGTATAATTTATACCTAAATCTTGCTTTATCATAACGTAACTATATAACCTTATCGCGGCATGTAAATCGGCCTTAAGCTCCTTATAGGTATTATATCCATCGTGGTAGAGTTTTAGATAACTAGGAGGCGGGGAAAGTGCTGGTTTATGGTTATTAAGGGCAGTAATATTGGCGTTTTATTTATAATAGTTAGCTTATTACTACGCCTCGAGACCCGAGTAGTCTGGCACCTCTAATATCGCTATAACGTTGAAAAGATAAGATGCGACTAGATAGAGATAGTCTTCAATAGCTAATTGATCGATCTAATTGAGTATTTAATTAATTCAAGTTATGGGAGATAGAGGGTCATTGAGTTAAGTTGGAGGGTTGAGGCCGTTGGGCACTGTAAGCATCAATCACTGCAATTTGCACCAGTGTGGGTGGTCTAGTGCCGTTGAATGGTGCGATCTGATTGGCTGCATCTGGAGGTTGGTGATGACTAAGCGTACCTTGCCCTGTACCCTCCGATTTGAGCCCTGCGAATCTCCGTTTTCACTAGATAGGCATCAGCCGAGGCCACGGAAGACGGAGCAGCCCAATCCACCGGCAATCAGCTAGTAAGCCCCGCGGGTGACGAATCCAAGGAAGCCGGAGAACCGAGCAGATCAACCACCATCAGGCCTAAGACAACCCATCACAACAAAGCCAAAGGACAGGAAACTTCGACGAACAAAGGATCTCAGGCTATTTCAGATGCTCCTAATATCCTTTCCGAAGTTTCAGGAAACGAACGGGTGGTTCCAGAAGTGCCAAATGCTTAGAAATTGTCTTCATGTAGTCAAACGCTCACTGCGCTGGGTAGTGAGTTCTAGCAAGCCTTTTAAAGTATCAATTACAGTCGGTAAAATAATCTGGTATCCTCATCAGACATCACGATCATGATCGGGCTGCACCTTCATTATTCCGAGGCACCCCAATTCTGGCGGGTTGGCCTCGGGAATTGCTTCAACAAGGCTCACCGTCTGCTCCCTGCGATTTTCCACCCCTTTCTCAATTCAGTCAGAGGCCGGAGGAGAAGCTCCGCAAGCTCACTGGGAAGGTGAGTCTAAACTATCAGAGACCACTCGTCTCGAGCAGACCTCTGTCTTTGTTCCCAGTTGCTGCTGCCGCACACCTGCGCATCCTTGCCTCACACAATCGCCGTGATTTGCCTTTCCTGCTTTCAAACGCAGGTAGACCGTTTGGGTCTCTTAGCACGCTCTAGGCCATTGGCAATATATTTCAAAACGTCACCTGGAGAACGTTTCAACACCCTTGCGGGTGTGTAGAGCAGTATTCCCTGGCCACATCCGGGGCCCCGATGGCTGACCTGTCAGCCTGTACGGATATCTCTCGCATTTTAAGAAGCATGAACAACTTGGAGGGCGGCGTGCAGGATGAAATAGACTCTACCAATGGGGAGTAACCGTCACCCTCTCGGTCACAAATGCGTGTTCCGTGTTCTGGAACAGGATATCTGAGTCTCCCTGCAGTTCTTGGACTGTCTCGGCTGCCTCGTTTCCTTGCGCGGTTTCCCCAGCTCCTTGATCTTCAAAATGAACGGGCGGCGCCTGGAACCAGCCACGCTGATCAATCTGTCACCCACAGACTGTTAATGCTACTGCCGGACCCTTCCCCCGCCACTTCATCCCGGCCAAAGCCCATTCGTCCATTTTGATGGACAAGGCGGCCCACCGCCGTTTTGTTTTGCTTTATCATCTGTGGCGGCCTTCGCCAGCCTGTCTCTACAAGCAAGCAAGGGAATGTGGTTGACGTCGACGTGTGTGCACGGGAATCTATAGAGTGCACAGGCCCTTCCATCTGTGCCGCTCCTGCAGCTTCGGCTGCCCGAGTGTGATCGCAGAAGATCAGCTTGAAGCTGGCTCTCGCATTTGTGGCCTGTAAAGGCTGCCTATGTTGGGAAATCATGGAACTGATGTACATAGTGTACCGTCTATGCACGATCGATGACTTAAGAAACGCTGTCCAACATGCCCAGGACTGGATGAAGAGACCATTAGACCGCCCACCATATGTAAAACTCCGTGAGAAGATGGTCTTGCCGGCTCCCTTGAGCCGCCTGACAACAATTCGGGCTTTTCGTCCTTCCAGGGCGTGCTCGAGGGCATTTTAGTAAAGCAGAAGTCACTGCCGGCACATGAAGAGAACGGCCTACTTATGTGGACATTCAAGAAGTTTACTGCAGTGGAATGATCGTTGAAGTTGGTCCCGAGCTTTGTTGCCATCGGACCTTTCGAGATCCTGGGAGGGATCTGAGGAGCGAATTCCCACCCTACACGGAACGTCACCCGCCAGCAGACTTAAGTGTATATCAAATTCAGTTATAATAAAGATACGATACTTTGCCGTTATCTACCCCCACATCACTAGCTTAATATCGATGTGGTGCTCTCAAATCCGGTAGATACGGTACTAGAGGGCTCAGTCACCTCTATGCTTTCCATTTACCACGGTCGCAAGCAGCAAAATATCTTGCATCGAACCTTTTCCGTGTTTAACCTTTGAGTACGACCACCTCGCATTGTGAAGTGCAGTGCCCGCATTCTATCTATGATAACCCTGGCTTTCCAAGTCACGGCTTGAATAGCGTTCTGAACAAAACCCACAGCACCAGGGGGCTACCATTATATATCGTCGGGTAGATCGGTATTATCCTGTCAGATACTCAGCGAATGAATCTGTATAGAAAAGACACGTGGTCTAAAAGGGATTAAATAGAAAGAATAGTCTAAGCTTTCTGGGCAGAAGTGAAGAGGCCCAATTACGTACCGGAAATTGTGGCTTGAACTCAGGCGGGAAGTATGTCTGCTCCTCAGTGATGACGATATAGACGGCATTCTGGTATCGCGCATCGTCGGCGAGTGGCTTAGCCGTATCGGCGTAAGACAGGATCTCCTTTCGCAGGTCCTCGAACTCCGGGGATGGGATGTCTGCAAAGTCTTCGGGGCCTAGCCTGCGTTGCGCAAAGGCTATTTTCCAGTCATAGGCAATATAGGCTGAGTTTGCAAGGCTAAAGCTGGTCCGTAATGGAACAAAGACGCGTGTCTTGTTGTCTCCGTTTCCAAGCTTGTTCCGGAGGAGTGTGGTGACCTCATCATTGGGCTTATTGTAGCGGGGTGGGATACCAGCACAGAGCAACTCAGACTCGTTGATGTTGTGGGCGAGCAGGAAGGCGTTGAGTATAGGAAGCGGGACCTTAAAGCCGCGTAGGAACGTTGTGGTACTCATTGTTGGAGTTCAGGTCGAATGGTCGTTGATGCAGACAGAATGCGTCCAACTGATTGAGTCGGAGAACTAGATGGAGTGTTGATGGGGCCTGGAATACTGAGATGGAAGATCTCACTCTGGTTAATCCTGAGAATTTTATATTAAGCGGAGGCAGGGGCCTCTCTGGTCGCTGTTGAAGAGGCCCCAAGTTAACCCCGCAGCTATGTGATTACTTAAGCAGGACCAACCAACAGACTAAAAAAAGGATGCCTATACTTAGCGCTTGAGCATAGAACCAACCTGCAGGAAATAGCCCTGCCACCATTCCTGCCATCCACCGCGGCCCATGATCGGCCACCTAATAACCAACTGGTTCTCAGTGGGGAGATAATACCAGGCAAGCAGGTCTATTTTTAGCCCGATGGGTTCTGCTGGCTTTTGCTTAGAAGTACGCTGGAGAGTAACTGATAACTACCCAAGTGAACACTGAATAAGTCACCTCCAGAGCAAGAGTGACTACATTACAACGTCTCATCTATATGAGTTGGGTGCTCAACACCGCCACTAGTAGAACAGGAGTGAAGACGAGTAAGGTAAGGTGGAATTTACGTGACAACACAATTTGACTAGCACAAGTCATTTAATACTTGACTAGTTTTGGATGCAGCCAGTGCGCACTGTCCGGCAGTATCAGGTTGTCACTATCTAATGTGTGTCCGAGACAGCCACCTAATCCTTAATAGGAGCGGCTACGTCTCTTGATTAGCAGGTCCTATTCTGTAGTCCTTGTGAAACCGCTCTACCCTCAACGTACTTAAACTTTACGGTGCTTATCATGCTTAGCTAGGTGTTCATCCCTGTCCGTACTGTGTTTGAACCCCGTTCCACAGTTACACTTGTACTTATCGCCGCTCCTCGAGGCCGACGACAAAGCGGCCACTGGAGCCTTGCTCATCGATTTAGCAGGGGCCGGGCCCACATTCACTGGTACCTTGGTCTTCGGCTGAGCAGGAGCCAGAACCCCTGAGGTCTTGCTTTTCGGCTTCTTCTTCAACGTCGGGTAGCGAACCACGAAGGGTTTGGCCTTCGCTGTCACTTTTTCCAGCAACGCCTCTATGCCGTCATCGAGCTTCGGCTTGGGCTTCCCTGGAGCTGCGGCCTGAGGGTTGAGGGTAAGCTTGCGCAAGGAGCTGGTGACATCGTCTGGACGACCCTTGGGCATGGTGGGCCTGGAGGACGCAGAGTGGCTAACCACATCTACTTCAGTATTAGCTGGGCTCTGATACGTGCTATGTAGAATACGAGAATGGTGTCTTTGGTGCAACCTGCTGTGTTTGAATGCATTGCTCACTCACTATTTCGACTAGCCGCTGACGGGCGGAATCCTGGGTCACGGCGACGATCCGACATTTCAAGAGTTGATTATCTTCGAGGTCGTATATGGCCCTGCGCCGAGATATACAAAATAGTTGATGAAGTTTTTGGTGAAAGACAGGCTGCAGAAGAAGACAGTCTCGTTTGCCACGTATGAGATTTGTTAAATAAAAATAACTTAACAATAAAGTTTAAACTAATAAATTATTATAATTTATTAAATATTAATAAAAATTATAATAGCTTATAAAGTTTATATTTAATCATTTTACTATTTATATTATTTTAAAGCGTTAGCAAGGTTTAATTATGCTATTATTAACCTTTAAGGGCTTTATTAATATTTAATTTTATAAAATTAAAGACGTTATTATTATAAAAGTAAAAGAAAATAACTTATTTTAAATTAAGCAATTTAATGCTAAAATTAACAATATTTTTTAGCTAAGCAATTAATTAAGTTTCTTAATAAGATTTATAAGAATTAGCATTTTATAAAAGGCTATTATTATTTAAAGAAATGCTAAAACTAAGCTATTTATTTAATTAAGTTAATAATTAAAGTATTATAATAAAGAATATTATTTTAATTATAAAAGAAAGTTAAAATTAACATTATAATGCTTTATTAAAGGAAATAAGATATATTTAGCCCTTATATATAATAACTTGTTTAAGTAAACTAATTTAATTTAAAAAAGCAGGAAAACGCTTTTTTAAATTATATCCTTAAAAGTATATATAATTAAGCATTATTTTGCTTAATTAATTAAAAGCAAGGCAATTAAGCTAAAATATTTAATATTCTCTTAATCTTTAAGCTAAATAATAATATTTTTTTAGCTATATTAAGGTGCTTTAATAAAGCTAATATAATTAAGTTAAGAAGGAGTAATATAAATAGCGGGAATATTATTAATATTAATGAAAGTAATAATAATAATAATTAGTTTGCATTAATATTTATAAATGCCCTTAATAGCTATTTAATGCCCTAGTAATTAGCTTTGCCGCCGCTAATATTATAGGTAGCTAAGCATGTATATATATTACTTATAGCCCCTTTTTTCATTAAAGTATTAATAATAAGGGTTACGTTATCTCCGCTATATTATTTATTAATATATTTATTATTCTTAGTAATGCTTAACAGCCTTAAGGGTAATAAGTTATTAAATAACTTTCTTTAAGATATATATTATTAAAGGGCTTAGCATTATTAAAAAAAGTAGGAAATAAGTTACTTAATTATAAAGCTTTAAAATATAAGCTTAAATAGGCTTAAAAACCTTTTAATATAGTTAAATAAGTAATTTATTAATTATTAACTTAAGGAGGACTTAACAAGCTTTCTTTTATAATATATAAAGGATTTTATATAGGAATATAATATATTAAAAGAAGGTATATTAAGTTTATTAACATCTTTAAGGGTAATTAAGGGCTTTAAAAATAATATTATTATTAAAAGTAATTAATTATAGCTTATTTATTTTATATAAAAAGGTATTTTAAGTATTGCTTTTATTATTATAATAATAATAAGTAAAAGATAATAAAGTTAAAATTAATGCTTATAATATAATAAGTTTTGCAAACTAACTTAATTTATTTATATTTATTATACCTTAATATAAAACATTAATTTTCTTAATTAATATAAGGTTAATTATAAGAATAATAATATTATTAAAATTATAAAGTTTAAAATATTTAAATACAAAAATTATATTATAATTATAATGTTTTTTTAATAATATTATAATAATTTAAAATTAATATATATATATATTATACGTATATCTTAACTTGCACCTTTCTTAATTATATAAACTATTCTTATTACCACCTTTTAATAATAATAATAATCTCTTTATAATATAATTTATTATTAAGTAGTTTATATTAATAAGTAATTTAATTTTATAATATCTGTTAACTTATATTAACCTTAATACTTACTTAATATAAAATATTTAATAACATTTAGCATTAATTAATATTAATTACTTTTTATTGCTTATTTTTAATTAATTTTATTAATTTAAAGGGATTAATGTAATTATAATATAATTAAGAATTATTAAGATTTTAATATAAGGGCCCTTTTTTAATATTAATTATGCTTTAATTTTTTATATTAATCTTATTTTAATTTACTTATTTAAATATTTAATGCATTAAAAATTAATAAAATCCTTTTAGCTATTTAAGTTATAAAGAAATTTAAAAAGAATTATATAAAACCCCTTAATGCAACTTAAATTACATAAATTTTTAATATCTTTAAAACCACTTTACTTTATAAAGTAAATTAATAATAATTCCATAAAAACATATATATTAATTAAAATGCTTAAAGATTTCCCTTATAACGTTTTAATATAAAAATAATAGCTACCTTTTTATTAATATTATATAATATTAAACTTATTAATAAATATTAAGCTTAATCCTTTATAAATATATAATTAAGCCTTAAAATTAAATTTAATTATTTTTATAATTATTAAAAAGCTTTTTATAAAAATTTAAAAATTATTAAAAATTAATTTAAATTGCTTTATAATATAATAATTAAATATTAAATTTTTAATAATAATGTTTATAATTTTAATAAAATTAGCTTTATAATAAATATAATTACCTTAATAATAATTATTATATATATTAATAAATATAAAAAAGTTAAATTAATTTAACTTAAAAATTAAAAATAAATAAGTTATAAATTTTATTATTTTATTAATTAAGTAATAAAATTAAATTTTTTAAATAATTAAATTATTAAGCTTACTTTTAATAAATAAATAAATAATAAAATTAATTTAAAATAAATTTAATACTTTAATAAGCATATTAAGTTAAAAATAATGCTAATTATTAAATATTAATTATAAATAATTATAAAAGCTATATATTTATTAAATTTAATTAATATTATAAAAATAATATAATTATTATTATTATTAATAAATTAATATATTATATTTATTTTTAAAGTATATATATAATAATAAAATTAATTTTTTTATTTAAGCTTTTATTACTTATATTATTAAATTTAAGTTTTCTTTTATATTTAAAGTAGCTTATAATATAATTTTTATAATAAAAAATATTAAATTTATATTTAAAAAAGTTAAAATCTTTTCTTAAAACTTTAATTTTATAATTTTTAAGTTTAATATTTATTTATAAACCTTAATATAATTTTTTTTTATTTTTTTTAAAAAACAAAAGTCTTAAATATTATTAAATGCTTAATAAATTATTTAATAATTAAGTTTTATTAAAAATAAAGTTTTTATTTAAAAAAAGCTTTTTTATATTAATTATAAAGATTATTAATTAAATAATAAAAAGAGTATAAATTATAATATATTTAATTATTCTTATAAATTAATAAATTTATATACTTTAAAAGGTTAATATAATATTTATTAAATATTAATAAGTTAAAAAAGCTTAAATATAGCTTAAAAAAGTACTTATAATTAAAAAATTTAAGTTTTTATTTAAAAGAAATAAAAAAAAATAATTAATTAATAAAATAAATAATAAAATAAAAAAAGTAATTTATAATAAATTAAGTAAATAATATTATAAAACTTATAATAAAATTAAGTATAATATAAAAGTATATATATAAACAAAAAGGGTTTATTAAATTAAATTTTAATTATATTATAATAAATTTAATATAATTAATATTAATTAATATAAATATATATATATTAATAATTTATAATACATTGCATTTTTAATAATAAAGTTAATATTATTTAATATAAAGTATATATTTTTTATTAAAAGTTAGCTTATTTAAATTAATATTATAATTATATTAATTTTTTTAAATTAATAAAATTAATTAATATTAATTAATACTAAATTTTATTAAATATTTTGCATTAAATAAGTATTAAAATTAATATAAATTAATAAATATTATAAAATTAAACTTCTTATTAATATAAATTACTTAATAATAAACCATATTATCTTTAATATAATTATAATTAAATAAATATATAATTTAAAGATTATAAGTTTAATTATTATTATATTAAAGTAATAAAAAGGTTATTATTATTGCTTTTATTTTACTTACTTAAGAAGTAAATAATCATTATTTTTTTATTTAATAAACTTTAAATTTTAAGTAAGAAAATTAATATAATTTAATATATTATTCTTTAAAAATTATAATAATATAACTTTTATTTAAATAAATTATTAAATATTTAAGTAATTTATATATTTAAAATAATAAATAAGTATAATTATAATAAAATATTATTTTATATATTAAGTATAATTAATTACTTTTAAGGTAATTACTTTTTAATAAGCTTTTAAATTTAAATAATATATTATTTAATTTATTTAAATAAGCCTTTTTATATAATATATTTTTTATTTATAAAAGTTATATAATTATTAATATATATTAATTTATAATTAAAGTATTATAATAATATAATTTATTATTAAATAGCGAATATTATTAAGTAATGAATTTTTTTAACTTTATTTAATTTTTATTAATTATAATATTATATTAAGATAAATAAATTAATAAAAAGTTAGCATTAATTAATATTAATTATATTTAATTCTTTATTTTTAATTAATTTTATTAATTTAAAAGTATTAATATAAATATAATATTAATTTAAATTAATTAATTTTTAATAAAAAATATGCATTTAATATTAATTAATGCTAATTATATTATTAAAAATATAATTTATTATAAATTAATAAAATAATTATATTTATATTAATTAATATTAATTAAGTTAAATTTATTATAATATAATTAAAATATAATTAATTAAACTCTTTTTTATCTTTTTTATAAATTTTATATTATATTTAATATTATTATAATTATTATAATATTTTTTAATTAATTTATTATAAATTAACATTTTTATTTTATTACTTATTTTATTTATTAATTACTTTATTATTTATTTTTTTTAAATAAAAACTTAAGATTTTTTAATTATAAATATTTTTTTAAGCTATACTTAAGTTTTTTTAATTTTTTAATATTTAATAAATATTATATTAATATTTTAAAGTATATAAATTTATTTATTTATTATAATAAATAAGTATATTATTATTTATATATTTTTTATTAATTACTTAATAATTTTTATAATTAATATAAAAAAGCTTTTTTAATAAATAAAAATCTTATTTTTAATAAAACTTAATTATTAAATAATTTATTAAATATTTAATAATATTTAAAATTTTTATTTTTTAAAAAAATAAAAAGAAATTATATTAAAGTTTATAAATAAATATTAAGCTTAAAAATTATAAAATTAAGATTTTAAAGAAAGATTTTAACTTTTTTAAATATAAATTTAATATTTTTTATTATAAAAATTTTATTATAAATTATTTTAAATATAAAAAGAAACTTAAATTTAATAATATAATTAATTAAAGCTTAAATAAAGAAATTAATTTTATTATTATATATATATTTTAAAAATAAATATAATATAATATTTAATAATTAAAATAATTAAAATAAATAAAATAAATAAAATAAATATAATAATATATTAATAATAATAATTTTATTATTTTTATAATATTAATTAAATTTAATTAATATATAGCTTTTATAGCTATTTATAATTAATATTTAATAATTAATATTTCTTTTTAATTTAATATATTTATTAAAATATTAAACTTATTTTAAATTAATTTTATTATTTATTTATTTATTAAAAGTAAGCTTAATAACTTAATTATTTAAAAAACTTAACTTTATTACTTAGTTAATAAAGTAATAAATACTTTAAATAATTATAAATAATAAAATTTATAATTTATTTATATTAATATATTTAATAATAATTATTTATTTTTAATTATTAAGTTAAATTAATTTAATCTTTTTATATTTATTAATATATATAATAATTATTAATAAAGTAATTATATTTATTATAAAGTTAATTTTATTAAAATTATAAAGATTATTATTAATAATTTAATATTTAATTATTATATTATAAAAAAGCTTAAATTAATTCTTAATAATCTTTAAAGTTTTATAAAAAGCTTTTTAATAATTATAAAAATAATTAAACTTAATCTTTATGCTAAATTATAAATTTATAAAGCATTAAGCTTAATGCTTATTTATAAGCTTATTATTTTAAAATATTAATAAAATATTAATTATATTTTTTATATTAAAAAGTTATAAAAAAATCCTTAAGTATTTACTTTTTAATTAAATTAAGTTTATATTATTTAATGCATAATTCTTTAAAATTATATTATTAATTTATTTTATAATATAAAGTTATTTTAAGGATATTAAAGATTTTAGCAGCTTAAGCTATAAATAAAGGTTTAATGTAATTTTTTTTAAAATATTAAATAATTTAAATAATTAAAAGTATTTTATCTTCTTTAAATAAAAAATATATATCTTTATTATTAATTTTTTATATATTAAATATTTAAGTAAATAAATTAATGCAGGATTAATGTGAAAATTAAAAATATAATTAGCATTAAAAATAGCTTATCTTATTAAAACCTTAATAATTTTTAATTATATTGCATTACTTTTAACCCTTTTAAATTAATAAAATTAATTATAAATAAAGAATTAAATATAATTAATATTAATTAATACTAACTTTTTATTAATTTATTTACCTTAATATAATATTATAATTAATAAAAGTTAAGTAAAATTAAAAAAATCCGGTACTTAATAATATCCGCCATTTAATAATAAACCACATTATAATTAATTAATATATATAATAAAAATTAAAGGTTAAAGAATATATATATTATTAATATATATATTAAAGTATATAATTAATTAATTATTTAATTAATTTAAGCTTGCTTTAATTTAAAAATTATAACTTTTTAAAAGTAATCTTAAATTACTTTTATATTTAAAGCAACCTTATATATTAAATTAATAAGAAATTGCTATTAATTCTTTTATATATATTATTAATCTTTATAATATTAAAAGTAATAATAAATATACTTTTTTAAACTATTAAAAAATGCCTTAATTAAATTAAAATTAAGTAAGTATAAAGATAAATATTTAAGCTAAATATTAATTTAATTACATAATTATTAAAGGTTATTATAAAAATAAAAATTATTATTATTTATTATTAATATTAAGTTATGCCTTAAAAATAATAATATATTAAGTAAAACCTTATTTTTAATAAAGTTAATAAAGCCTTAATTATTTATATTACCCTTATATATAAATAAATTAAATATATATATAATTATAAATACTAAAAGCACTTAATGCTATATATTATAACTTTTATTATTATTAAATATAAGTTTTATTAATTTAATACTTTTTAATAATTATTTTATATATTATAACTTATTTCTTTTATTTATATTAAACTTATTAATAAAAATAAATTAATTTATATAAAGCTTTTAAGTTTTAATAATTTAATTAACTTAAATAAGATAATTTTATTAAATAATAATTATATTTATAATTATTTTATTTTATTTACCTTCTTTAAGTACTTAATTAATAATGCTTAAAAAAATAAATAAATTAAAGTTATTTATTAAATATTATTATATTTTATCTTAATATAAAATATTCTTTAAAATAAAATAATTAAAGAGGGCTTAAGTAATAAAAATATATATTAAAAAGAGTAAATAATTATAACTTAAATTATATATATTATAATAAAAGTTAATTAATTAAACGGCTTTATATAAGCTGCTTAGCTTAATAATATTATTACTTATTAAATTTCTTTTTCTTAGCTTTTAAATTTATTAATTAAAATACTTTATAATTCTTATAATAATGGCATTATTTACTTAATTAATATTTAATAGCCCTTAAATTATATAAAGCTTTAAGGGGGTTAAATAATAAATAATAATTATAAAATTATTATAAATTAATTTATAATAATTAAAATATATAACGTAGTAAAAGGCATGGCGTTATAAGGGTTGTGGGATAAGTAATTATATTTAATAATTAAAAAGGCGATGGTATGATAAGTATATATAATTTTTAGTGTAAGGTAATATATATAGGCCACTAGCGCTAACATGGAATGATTGATTGCATATGAGAGTAGCTATGGCGCGAGTTGATGCATTGGTGTACCCTCCGATTTTGCAGGTGCAAATCTTCGCATTCTTTAAAAAAAAAAAAAAAAAAAAAAAAAAAAAAAAAAAAAAACAAATTCCGAGAGCCAGGATGCTGGTGGTTCAGTACGACATGTCCCTGAACTCACTTTCGGTATGATGCTCCCTAGCTTGACGCCTTCCTGAGGTTCAGTTGACCAAGCTCGGTGCGACTGCCTATTCTTGTGGATTTTCGAATACATTGTTGGACTAAGCCACTTGTCCTGTTGGGTGGCGAGCCGAAAGCCTGCCAGATCACAGTCTTCACTATAGGCAATCGTTAAACGAAAAATCAAAGGTTTGTGTTTCGCTAATAAATCAGGAGTTCAGTACAAAACTTAATTTCTACTGCTTGTCTTTGTTGCTGTAAATACACCTCCGGGATTTACTCAGCGAATCTGATTAACACTCGACATGGATGACCAGGATCAAGCATCAGGCGTCAATCTAGTGGTGCCGCCTGCTTCATTTATCGGCAGAACCCCAACGTGGACTTCCGCGAGACTTCATTTCTCAGGGATTCGACTGGGCGAAATCATGAGCTGCCTTCGCCGTCTGAGGTCGACGAGCGCAATGCCAAAAATCCCGGTCTTGGCGTCACGATATATGAGGGGTTGAATCTTGTGGTCAAATCTGGTCATTGTCAACATGGTCGATTGGAGGAAGCTCTTATGATGCGAGCACTGCGAAAGGCTTTTCCAAATGGAGAGGTGCCGGTTCCTGAGGTCTTCGGCTGGAAGACCATAGGCGAGTTGGAATACATTTACATGAGTCTTGTCCCAGGTGTGCGCTTATTTGATGCATGGGATTCTCTATCTGCAGATGACAAAACATCCATCTGTGACCAGCTAGGGAAGATTCAAACGGATCTCCAGAAATTGAAGCATCCGTCGGGCACTTTTATTGGTAAGCAAAACAGTCACCCGAAAGCCATCATGAATAGTCAGGCTACCCACTCTAAACGGTTAAGGCGGGATCTGCAACTGATTTTTCGTTGGAACCCAATATAGGATCCCTCACTGGAGGTGTACTTCACGATCGCTATTTCACCTGCCACCCAAGGATTACATCAGCAGGTCCATTCGAGAGCACCAGGGATTTCCACGATTACTTCCAGTTCGCATCGCTCGCATGGCTCCCAATGGCAGAAAGAGATTTTGAGGACCCCTATCGGCCTTATCTGCCTGACGTTGCCCCAATCCGTTTCTCCCACGAGGACTTGCACCTGGGAAATATCATGGTCTCAGATGATCCGTCGGAGCCGTGCAGGGTAACGTCGATCATTGACTGGGAGGAGGCTGGATGGTATCCAGAATACTGGGAGTACTGGAAGACGGCAGTGGTGGTCGGAGAAGAACATGAGATCTGGACCGGAGGCGGGACAGACAGTGACCCTCGCGCATATGTTGATAGGATCTTCCCAAAACGATACCACGACGAGTTATTTGCTGTTGGGGAGTACTGGGCTGCGAGAGGGTATCGTTGAAGGGCAGCCCTCAATTGATTCTTGTTTCTGTTCCAAGGTTGCTAGCCTGGGTTGAACTGAGCAGGACTGGCCACCCTGATTGCTAAACGCACTTCGTTCGAAATACTTGTCCGTAGTGAGCTCGTGGTGCTCGACAGGCATGAACCGAATTTCGGACCCAAGAATAAATAACCCATAATGCGTGAGCGTGCAGCTTGGCCTTCTGTGTCCAATCTGCACCCGGTTTGAGTCGGTCGCTGCGCCGAAGACATAAAAAGAGCGAATCCTTGGGCCCAAATAGTTGTCCCACCAGACTGCAATGAATTAGAGATGAGCGCCTGAAGTAAGCGTTACGAGGTCTTGTGGAGAGCGAACAATTTCGGAGAAACAAGGCCTGAATAAAAGGAAGCATATTGTATAGGTCGGCTACACTTGATACTTAGACAGAGTATAAAAGCACTCCTCTCAGCGTTTCAGTCCCCAAAAGATCAATCACATCTCGAGACTCCAAAGACCTCAACAAGCGACCCGCCATTCACTTAGAAACTGCTAGCCCGTATCAAATCAGCCGAGTCGAAACCCAAATGATCATCGACAATTTCCTTAGGTGGTGGCGGTGGAATTTCCTCGTCAGATTTTACCTTGTACCAATCCTCAGGAAGGGTCGTTCCCGATACCTCCGCCATCTTCTTCTCCTCGACGTCGAGGATTCCAGGGTCCGCGACGGCTCGGGTCTTGCGCACAAGTTCACACACGTCCTCGAAGTTCGTCGGACCGGCTATGTCGCGTATTGAACGGAGAATGCAGGCGGTGTCATAGCCGTAACTGCCATCCTTCAACAGGCCCTTGAAGACCGGAAGCTGGGGGTGATCCTTGCCGTTGAACTCGGCGCGGTCCCGCAGGCTTGATTGTGAGACGATGAGCCACACTGGGATGTCTTCGTGCCCGGCATCTATCGCAACCAGGTAGTCTGTGTCTTCTGTCGGCGGCGTTCGCCCCGGAGTCACCAACGAGTCCCACACCTCCCTGGACGATGTTCTCACTGCGAGATTTCCCAGTACGATGATATGGTTAGGTAGAGTGGGGCCTTGGTCACGGGCTTGGTCATCAGGTAATGGTTTTCGATATCTGACCTTGTGGAGAGGGTTTGCCGTGCGCTTCCAGGGAGTTGGATCGTCGGGGGTCGGAGCAAGGTTATCACGGCAGTAGATGCGGTCCAGTCCAAACGGTAGTTCCTGGGTGGAGATGGAGTGAATAATGATCTCCCGTCTTGGCATCCTCGAACAGTGGTATCTTCGGTATGCCTTTTGCCCAGACTTTCAGGGATGGGAGGTCTTTGCGGCGCATTCCGGACAGCTTCTGCAGCCAGTGCCGATGCATGGGCCTTTCGAGGAGCTGGTCGTTTGGCTTGCTCAATTCGTCAGAGCGCATGAAGTTGTGAGGCCAGCCATCGCCAATGTCCCAGTCCTTCCATCGGCTGAAGTAATCAACCTCGTCCCAATGATCGCCATGCCATTCTTTGTAGTGCTCATATCCATCGTTTTCCTCGTCGTCGCTATCATCCGCGGAAACATAACCTTCCTCGAAGGTGTCGGTTTGGCTGGCAGTCCGCGTCGAGAGCTCGGCATCAGCTTGATCATCGTAAGTCAGTCAGTCGCGCTCACCCAAGTTTCGAAGGGGCCAATATCAATAGACTCGGTGCTGCTACGGATGTATGCACTCTTCTCTTGTGACCATAAAATAAAGAGACTTACGTTCGTCCTGCACCAATGTCTGCGATGAGTTCGAAAATGCTAAGGGTATTCCCATGGTGTCTGGCAGCTTTTCCATGCTCGATTCACAAGCGGACATCTTCAGACAAGTTCGGGAGGCGTGGAGTAATGAACGTCAAATTGGGGGCAATAAGGCCCCTTGGGGATGACTGACTAATGACTCCAAGCCAAACGCCTGTCCGTCAGCCTAAACGTTGCCTGTACCAGAGTAATGTGGCTGGGCCGCAAGGTGGCATTTAAGCGCGCTGGGTTAGCCGTCGAACAAGCCAATAGGGATAGGTGGCACAGCAAAACAGTGGCAACCTATGACAGCCCCAACTGCGCCGTAGTCTACAAGGTCCACTCCGGCCCTGCTCATCGGCAAGCGATGTGACAGTCATTTTAAAGTTCTCCGACGCGCGGCAATCCATGTTTATTGATGACTAACGACTTCTTGTACTTCATGCACCCAATCATGAATGGGGTGTCCGGAATAGCCGCGCATGGTACTCGGTCGATGCGGCCACAGGCCGGCGTATCGCGCAACGGCTCATTCGCAGGCCGGCCACCATTGTGTGTCGAGCAGCACATTCCTCCCATGTACCTAGGGGCAGGTATTTGTCCCTTAAAAATAGAAATAAGTTACAAGGCAAACTATATACAGAATTGCTGTCTGCTCGGAGAACCTCTCGAGGTTACGCAGCTAACCCTTATGACCGTCCCAATTAATGTCTTTCGAAACCATCCCTCGCCATTGCTATAAACTGAACCTTGAACTCAACTAATTGATTGGCATTTTGGCACATTTTCATTCATTCATACCACTTTAAGCCCCGTTCGTTGCCAACCTCAGAGTGTGATTACTATCATCCATCTTCTGTTTTTCTCGCTGCTGGCACCAAGCAGAGCAATGTCTCAAAGACCTCTAGCCGATCTGAATCACAACAACATTATCAATTTCAAAATTCCAAACAAACAGGACCGTACCAAACATGAGGCCCAATTTACCCAAATGCTCGATTCTATGGACAAGGCCGAGGATAATTTCGGAGTGCTCCTTGCGGCCGCCACACGAATGTCGAGCATTTTCGCAAATTTCAACCAGTCCACTAGATTTGACACTGAAGGTGTGAACAATTTGGTTCAAGATCTCAAGAAGATTTTCGCACTTCTCCGCCTGCGCCTACGTCGAGATTATGGTTTCGAAGCGCGCCCCGGCAGAAGAGTCGCCACACCTGGTGAAAGACTGCCGGACAGGATTGTCCAGGATGCCTACCAGAACCTCTGTCCCCTGACGACATTGTTGCAGTCAGTTGCACAAAGTATTAGTGATTTGAAAGTGGGCGTTCAATCCGGATCAACACACAATGGTTGGGGTGCTATCGACCCGCTTCGCAGGGTCCTCAACCGGATGGAAGAAAATTTGTATCAGGTCGGCGGCGAATACACTGGCTTGGCACAATGCATCATGTTCCATGAGAGGAATTCACGATACATTGTCACGTCGACTGCACCTCGCTACAAACACATCAACGGCCTACAAATATACGCGCTCGGCCTATGGCACAACAACATTCTCAGAATGAGGAATGTACTCCCGCCGCAGTCCCTTGAACGCGTTGAGAAATTGGAGGACTATTCCGAAAACCTGAAGAAAGTATGGGTAAAGCTACCAAAGGAAGGGAGAAAGTGGACTGGGGCTGCGCCGCCGGTCGTGGAGTCCATCATGGGCTGTAACGCGTCATTCGGGAACACAGGAGTCTACATGACGGCTTGCCTCTTGGACCACCTCAGATTCCAGATGACCCGGCCCGAGAAAGCGGATAAGAGTGAGCGCAACGCAGGGAACAGAGACGTCCACGGTCCGTTCTCATGTGCAGAGTGGGAACTGTACATCACCTTGTTGAACGACCCGGACCCAGACCAGCCCTATGCTCCTCGTGTTGTTGCCATGAGCTATGGCATGCCAAAGGCGAGGACGTGGGAAACACACAAACCCGCCCAACGCCCACCTACGACAACAAACGTTCCGCCCAGACCGTCCCCACTGCCAGCTTACCCTAAGCCAACGTAAGTGGTCTTGTAGGATCCTCATGCCAAGAGCCTCACTCGTTCATCCCTGTACTAACTAATTGTTACTGTATAGCGCACAGAGAGTCGGCATGGGTAAATCCTCAACGTTTGGAAACCATCCGCAAGCACTGCGACACGAAGCCGCCGGCCAGGTCATTACGAAAAGACCAACCCCGCCGCAGAAGTCTCATCCACAAGGCTACCACACTCAAGCTCCAAGACCGGCACCTGCTCCATATACTCAACTGCCGGAGAAGAAAAAGGCCAAGCCGAGAAGATGTTGTTTCTAACATGATAGCCCCCTGGGTACAGAAACCGACATATTGTATTGAATATGTATGAGACACTGGTGAAATACACTTTAGCCACAATAATAAGTATGAATTTCATAGTAAATACATTACTCGAGCCATATCTACAGCTAATCGGAGCGCATCACCCAGGCCTATTCACATTCCCACACCCAAACACCCAAACATCCAATCGTTCCTTCTGCCCAGGGCACTTGCGCTGGGGGCTAAGTGCTTATGGTTTCAACTTCTGCCTCAAAAATATACTCTCACGGATGTAACCGTTTGGGCAATTTTGGTAGGCAGACAGGGCTAAGGAAAAGCCCGACTGATGTGCTCTGTGACAACGAATTTGCCTGGCCCTTGGCTAGACCGACGTGGCCTGCGGATTTATTCTTGCAACACAGGAGACGCGTATGGCTCGGGCGTAGAAGGGGTGAACAAAGATAGTACGCCTTTGCTGGGCGGGAACTCAAATGCGGCAGAGTTGACAGACTCCTTCTATGTTGGAACCAATTCAATCGTCAGGCTCGGACACCCACCCTTCTTTTAATATTACAAAGTCATAGGTCAGCATCAACAGCACTCAAGCCATCAGGATCTCTTGTGGCTGGAAGCTCCGCCCAAGGTAGGCAAGTTTCGTATACGTTGTTGCTTTGGTCAGATGTTTTGCAATAAACTTTCCGTCGTACTCATGGATGTGATCGCTGACATTTCATATTGGTCATTTACTCTCGATGCAAGTGGCTGTTCTTTGTCGGGTTTCATATATCTCACAAAGAAAGCCATTTCCGCCGTGCATGTTCTTACATCTGGACCGACATAAGGTGTCTATGCAGCGGTAGGACAAAGACACTTGACCAGATTATTACCCGAAGACCTCCATCAGATCCCTAAGAGCTAGCAATTTACAAACATCACTACCGAGGCAGCTTTCAAACAGTGCTTAATTTTATAAAGTTAGGCGGTGCCTGCCTGAGGATCGACAACAGAACACCGGAGTCTCGTAGAGCCTCGCCCAGCAGCTTACATCATGCCGAAGGACCCAGAGCCAAGGGGCCGAGAGTTGCGACAGTTGTTCGGGCAACTCTGCGACCAAGCGGCCGACGTCGCGGCGTCATTCCGGGCATGCAGGTGCAGCAAAGACGTTGGGTCGACAGGAACGGACGGCCGGGGAGGGGTGAATGCGCTGAGACGGGAACTGGTAGTAATCCGGCAGAGAGTGGGAGCAGGCTCGGCCGGTGATGACCTGAGCGACGAGGACTTGAAGAGGACACTGGCCAGGCTCGAGTCGCAGGTATCTGCCCTGAAGCAACGCACAACAGCACCGAGCGATGAGCCTGCTGAGAGTACCAGGACTGTCGGAACACAGACGGAACCGGCCATCCCCGAGTCGCGGGAACCTGCACTCGATGGGGCCACCACAACACCAACTGATGGGCGCGCTGAGAGTGCCGCGAAGATTGGAACCCCGACATCACCGGGCGAGGAACGTACCGAGAGCCCCACAGGTGATGATGTTCCCGTAGAACCAGCCCACGGCCCGCTGACCCTGATGCGCCTCCCGCCAGAAGTCCGCGCCCGGATCTGGTGGGAGGCGCTTCGCCCGGAGGCCGGGTTTGTACCCATTGTGCCCTGGGCCGCCCTCCAGAATGGCTATGTTGACAACAACGGCCGCATCCGCGCCCGCATCCGCACCCGCAGCAGCGGGCGGTTCCACCGCGCGCGCACGGCACTGATCGATCGAAAATCGGCCCCTTATGCCAACGAACGTGCTCCTGAGGCCAGGGGATTTGCCCATTCCTGGATGCGCGCGGGTGAGCACTGGGGCGCGCCGTGGACCGGCGGCTGGGCCCTCCTCCACGTCAACAAGCGGGTCTACGAGGAGGCCGAGGCGGCGTACTGGCGGCGGGTTGCCGCCGACGGCCTGATGCTCTCGTTTGGCTGTGGCATACACATGGCGGATTACTGGGGCTTGGCTGTCGCGCGGACCTTCTTCAACGACTTCACCACGCTGTACCTGCAGAACATACAGCGGGTGCACCTCGACCTGCGCAGGCCCGACCGCGACGACGGCCCGAATGGGTATGGGGGGCAGGCGTTTGTGGTTCAGAGAGCAGGGGTTCAAACTATAAATTTTGTGCGCGCTTTGGGTGCCGTCCTAACCAACATTAGCACCAGACTTACGAGCCTGCGGCATCTATCACTGACTTTGGGCGGCTGGGTGCCCGATGTGCGCCAGACACCAGTAAGTGGAGTACAATTTAGTTAACCTGTGTTTTTAAATAGTGCTAATAGTTATCCCCAGTGGATAGAGGACACCGACTATCCCGACGCACGCCTCCAGAGCTCACAGCATTGGGTCACCCGCTTGCAAAACATCACCGGATTGACTCGGTTAAGGCTGCGAGTAATGTACGCGCCCAGAGACCCGGACACAATCAACGCGAGACTAGATCGAGACCCGGGTGTTCAACGCACCATTCACTTCATGAGCATGCTGCGGGGCTCGATGCTGGTCAACGGAGACGCACTCGGTGTTGGGAATATGAGGGCCTGGGCCAACAAGCGCCAGCTGGAGTTCGCGACGGCTGATCGATTCAGAATAGTGGTGCAGTGCGATGACAGCTGGGACGAGGAGAGTAAGGAGCATCGTCATTACGTGGAGGACGATGAATATGATCGCCTCGATGGACCCAATAACTTTGGTGACAAGTTCCGGTGGGATCCTGATGCTGATAGTTAGATTAAATTCTACGACTAATGTATAGAATCTCCTCTCAGCGAGCTTCGTTAAGGAGATAAAGGGGTGGCGGCTTGCTTGGATGGAGGGCTCCTGGCTGGCCACAGCCTCGGTGAAAACGCGGTCTTGTGAATCATCGACGTGCTATCCGTCAGCGACACTCTGTGCCTCGTCCACGAGTGCGTCCTCCTCATGCGGGAGCGCTGCAGCTTGGATGGCGCGAGCCGCGGCGCGATGCTGGCAATCTCTCTGGGTGCCGAGTCTGAGCAGACGGCGGATTTGCTTCCGGATTTGCTTCAGGATTCCTGCCAGGTCGCCTTCGTCAAGGGACCATCCCCGGTCATCGTCAGCGGCCTGGCCGCGCAGCTGGCAAACCTTCAGGCGGAACTGCGGACCAACAAGACCGGCGCTACCATGTTGCTTGTTCCCTTCGGCTTCCACTTCTCGCAGACGGACGCCATCGTTGACGTCTTCAGCACCTCCGCTGCCACTGTTCACATCGGCAAGCCCGCGTGTCGACCCTGGCCGGTGTCATCGAGGACTCGGTTGACGCCGCGTATTTGGCAAAGGAAATCCGCTCGCCGATGCAATTCTTGTCGGCTATGCAGCGAGTCTAGCAAAGCGGCCTTATCCAGAACGGCTCAGTCATCGTGGAGATAGGTCCGCACCATAACTGCATCGGATATGACGTGTTTTAATCGCCTCTGGTACCTTGATGGATTTCCCTCTGGCCCAGTCTTCATTTTCCCGGGTGTGTTCAGCACTAAATCATATACTGCAATTTCTAGAGCAAAATCGCTGACCCTATTAGACATTCCAAAGATTTGTCTTGTCTTCATTAACACTTTACTATCATTGCATGGAGTGCACTCAAGACATCGTCCCACGATGCAACGTGGGAAGCTCAGTGTTCATTCAGCAGGAACTACAAATTTACTCAAGTACACTTTGCGCATAAGCTAAAATATCGCGTCGATCCCCCCAGGATCTATATGAAAAGGTAAGAAGGCGCAAATCAACCTGCAAAAAGGTTCACTAGTCCAATAGTGACTCACTGCGAGTGCTAATCAAGGTGTGTTGGCGTTGGAGACTCAAACTCGCAAGACACAAATCTTCGACTACTAGAGTCCGATCACTTTCCAAATTTCAACCACTAAGAGTTATTAGTCGCCATAATTACGGCCACCAGGGTACCTTTTACTCATCGTGAACCTCCGTGAGCAGCACATAAAGGTACTCTCCCACCTAAAGCATCGCTCTAATAGTTACTGGTCGCGATTGTCCACCAAGGTGTCCCTTTTCCTGGTATTAAAAGGCGGTCCCTCCCCCCGCCCCCGAGACATTTCCCAAACTCTTCCTGGACACACGCACCTCGGATTTGCAAGCAAGAAACAAAAACCAAAAACACCGAAGTACTCGAACCACTACTCTACAAATCGCTACTACCAAAGTTGGTCTGCAGCCCCGGTTCTTCTCTGAAACCTCTATCCTCACTCAGAGCTCTACTCTCAAACCTCTCTCTCCTAAACCTCTCTCAAATCTCTCTCTCCTCAACCCCTCTCCTAAATCTCTCTCTCTCAAACCTCTCCTCTCAAACCTCTCCTCTCAAACAAAGCTCTTCTCTCAAACCGCTACTACCTACGAGAATCGGTCTGCAACCACTACTCTTCTTCTCTCAAACCTCTCTCCTAAACCTCTCTCCTAAACCCCTCTCCTAAACCTCTCTCCTAAACCTCTCTCCTAAACCTCTCTCCTAAACCTCTCTCCTAAACCTCTCTCCTAAACCTCTCTCCTAAACCTCTCTCCTAAACCTCTCTCCTAAACCTCTCTCCTAAACCTCTCTCCTAAACCTCTTCTCTCAAACCACGTCTCTCAAAGTGGATTCGAGTCACTTCTTCTGTTTAAACCACGCCTCCCCAAAACTAGTCAGGTAATTCCTCCCTGCCCCCCTCTGCTCTCACACATGTACACCTTCTCTAGTACCACAGTTCCTCATACTAATGCTCTCACAGATTTCTACATCTGCAGTTCTTCAAACTCCCAACCATCGGCACATGAGCAACCTTCACAATCTTGTGAACGTCATGATGCACAGGAAGAACAACGAGCGCAGCCTTAGGGCCGCTCTTGACGGCACACGTCACAAAATCACAAAAAAGCACGCGGCTGTGGAGGCCTCAGGACTCAACCAATGTGTGCGTGACACATCGGTCGAGGACCTCGATTTCCATTTCGAGCGTCTCAAGCTTGATTTGGAGGTCCTAAATCTACCGTTCGAGGGTGTCGGTGAGTATCTTCCATTCATAACTTTCATGAGTGACTTGATGGCTAACCCTTTTGCAGTCAATATCGCAAACACAGAAGAAATAGCCATGAAACTTGCAACCGAGGCTTCTGAGGCTGCTTTCGACCCCACCAGACGGTTCTTCAGCACACACGGTGCAACAGGTCGCGGTGATGAGGCAGGCTTATTAGCCATCTCAAGGTGTCTAAGCCTGGCCGCCACGGATCTTCTCCGCACCCCATATCAACAGAGGGCGCCTAAGATCACAGTCTTTACGCACTACAAAGACGCTCTCCGCAGACTCGAAGGGGCACGCGGCATCAGCACATCTCAACACACCGACTCCACCACCGAGCAAGTGCAGGCCACACCAGCTCTCGTGGAGGTCATCAAAAAATCACGCTTCCTCTGCCGCAAACTCGGCGCCAGACTCGAGTTGCAATGGATGCCGCACCATGCAACTGACACCGAGAGGCACAGACAAGCTGAAGCTGCACCAACATCTCAAAAACCAATGCCGGCATCGAAAACTCTGCCGTCTTTCCAACGTCTGCGTCGAGATCAAAACCTCACGTCAAGTCAACGCGCCTTCCATCGGCGAGAACTTGCACACCAACGGAGGTCCTGCCGCGGTCAACCATCGCCGCTGGCCAGACAGGCAAATTCAGCCTCGTCCACAGAACAACAAGCTCAAGCCGAGCCTCGGCACCTCATCGTCGAGAACTTGCGCGAGCTCCGAATTTAGGACGACTACTCTGTTGTCTGATACGATTGAACTATTACGAAACATGGGTCCAAGGGAGCAAGCATAGCGTGGGAGTCTCTTTTTTCCCCCAAAGGGGTTTTTTTAGGGTTTCGTGGAAACAGATGGTCACACGAGCACAGGATGTCATGTGCTCGGGCCTCGGGGTACATAGATTTGATTCAGAAAACAAAATCAACTACTGTGAGCCCAATTTGTTTTTGGTGCCAAGTGACATGTTCTAGTCGCCTCATCATTGAAACATGCTCGAACTCCTCCACATGTGCCACAAGCGGACATATGTACCGATCTCGGGGTACGCAGGAGAACGTTATCGATTTGCCGGAGTAATGGGGGCCTCCGATACGTGCGGGTCCTTTCTTCCTAATTCTGTAAATTGATAACATGCTAGAAGTCTCGCCATGAGCCATTCAACTGAATTTCATATTGTCTATGAACACCTGTTTGAGGCGAAAGGTCGAGGTCAAATCCACAGACCGCCAGCCTGACTACCGTTCCCCGCCCGTGAGCGCTCCAGCCGCTGGAGGCCTGGAGACTCAACAGGCTTCACCCACCCTTCTTCCCTTGGAGTAGGCCCGAATACAAGTCATTCAATCTTAAATATAATAGCCTTAGTCTAGCACTAGCCCCGTCAGCTTTGCTTCTTATAGCCTATTTCATGGCTTTCTCTTGTTACCAAGAGTCCTTGCATGCATAGTTAGGGTGTAGCACGGTGAGCACTAGGAAATTCAGTCAGCTAATCAATAGCTTACATCATATTGTATCGCCTACTCCAGCCCTCCAGGGTCGGTATAGTCGGCTGGAAATCGAGTGAGTAAGCTTCAGCCTCGAATGTGGAATCAATTGTAGCTCAAAATTATGGTGTATTGTGGAACCTTCAACCGTAGCTCTATAAGTAGTGCTGCTACGCTTGAAAGATAGTCTCTCTCCACCCATCCATATATGCCTCTCTCTTCGTTTTAACGGACATCAAGAAGGAACAAGTCAACCAATTCTGTTCCACATCTTTCACAAACATCCAACGCCATGATCACTCCTAGCTTCCTCCCTTTTCTCCTGGCCATCGCCCACCTGGCACAACCCTCCACGGCCCAGTGGCAAGCCGGCAAGGGGGCGCAGGTCAACTTCTACCGCGACACCAGCTGCTCCCAGTTCCAGAGCTCCGCGACGGCGTGGTGGGACAGGTTCCCCCGGGTCTCCGACTATGCTCCGTACAGCGACGAGCCCGAGTGCCTCAGCCTCAACCCTCCCGGCGACGCGAGGAGCGTCAACGTCGCGGCCATGTGGAGGCACGACAGCAGCGCGTCCAGCTCCGGCATCTGCAACTTCTTCGACGGGTACGGCTGTACCGGCTCCGTCCAGACGGGAAATTATGCCTCTGGAAATGGCCAGTGTCTCGCTGCGAGGAGCGCAAGTGGTGGTTACTTGTGGAAGAGCGCAAAGTGCTGGGTCCGTTATTAGAATCATGTGCAGAAGTGCGATATGTTCTTGGGCATTCATATCGCTTTGGAGATTAGTAATTCAGACATCAGCTCCTACATGGATGTATAAGGAATCTTGGTATTAGTAAATGATAATCATGATTTATAACTCCTGCCAACAGTTTCTTTTGACCTGTTCCGGATGTCATTTTAGTATTTTATGTCCATTTAGAATGAAGTGTGTTGATCCTGAATTAATAGAGGAAAGCTTATTAGTTAAACCGTGACAGGTGGATCCGTTTTTAAACTGATTGGTGCCTATTGTCGCCCTTCTGGGAATTGTTCCAGCGACTGGGTCGAGGAAGCCCTCCACACCGGATTGCGCAATTATCGTTGTCATGGTCTTGGAGGATCACTGTCCGCACCTGTAGTGGCAGTCCCTGCACGTACCTGGACTCGGTCAGCACAGTCTCGAGGAGCCGGGAGCTGCTTTTTGCAACGTGAGGGGGTTGACTCCTGTTCTCCAGGCAAGCCGAACCGGTTTTGGGTCACCCGGAACGATCCTTGCGAGACATTTGCATGAGTGCGTCGTCAGCCATGCAAAGAAACATCAATCGATCTGCTGTATTCAAGCATTAAATGGCCAGGAGAGGGATAGTATAGTAGGATGCTTGCTGAACTGCATCAGCAAGCAGGGCTGCAGATGCAGAGTAACGTTAACCGGAGCTGTGCCAAGCTTGATCTCAAGTTCCCCAACATTATTGTTTGTAGCTACAAGCATTTCTTAAATGTGTCGGGTATGAAAGAGGTACTGGCAAATGTTGCAGCTAGTAAAATCAAGAAGCAATGTATTCAACCCTCTTCCGAATCCTGACGTCGACGTATTGAACCTCTTCCTCCCCCCGCCTTCGGACACACCTGGGAGGGGCAATAATCGGGCAATGACATGTGCTTCGGGAGACACGGTCTATGAGAGCAAGAATATAAAGCAAGCTCTCCTCGGGCACCATACAGTTCTTTCTACCGGCCAAGTAGCTTTGTCTGCCTCTTTGCCCTTGCTTGTTTGAGGGGAAGATGAAGCGTTCTGTTGTTGCAGGTCTGTTCGCGCTGGCTCACAGGGCCGTTTCGGCGCTGCCATTACTCATTTCCAACACCGACGTACTCGATACTTACGATTATGTCGTCGTTGGCGGCGGCACCGGTGGGATGACCCTCGCGAGCAGGTTGTCCGAGGACGGCTCTAGTATGTGCTGTTTCGCCGTATTCAAGGGTCACCGGACTTACATCATTATAGGCACTGTTCTACTTATTGAGGCGGGTCCATTGTAAGCCTGAAAAGTCCAAAGCTATCCGCTGTTGAATCGACTGATTCGAATGGTGATAGGGATGACGGCGACAAAGAGATTAGGATTCCCCGCTTCTACGTTGGAGCAAGAAGTGGGATCCCCGAGGACTTCAAATATGCATGGCACATCAAAACAACCCCGCAGACTGAACTCGGCAACCGTAGTATAACTATCGCCCAAGGGAAACTGGTCGGAGGTGGGAGTGGTATCAACGGGATGGTCTACGACCGCGGCCGAGCGGCAGACTACGACTCGTGGGCGGACATCGGTTCGAAAGGGTGGGACTCTGCCAGCTTGCTCCCGTACTTCAAAAAGGTTGATAAATGACCTGACTTGGATCGACTTTCAGCGTGTGCTTACGAAGATAGGCTGAAACCTTCACGCCTCCACCGGAGAAGCAAGCGAACGAGTTCAAGATTACCTGTGATCCCGATTGCCACGGCTTTGAGGGACCGGTTCAGTCTAGTTACCCGGCTTTCGTGTACCCGCAGCATAGTGAGTCAATCGCCGCGTGAGTCAAGGCAACTCTCGGCCGCTATTGACCAGGCTTTCTAGATGACTTCATGGATGCTATGGATTCTTTGGGAGTCCAGAGACCTTTGGATCAGTCGTGTGGTGATACCCTTGGCGCTTATCTGTCAACACACTCGATTCATCCGGTCAATCGATCGAGATCATACCCGCGCGTGGTCTTTTACGACCCTGCGGTTGATCGGGCTAATCTTCACGTGCTAACTGAGCATCAAGCGACAAGACTGATCACCGAAGTTGTTGATGGAATGGTGAAAGTGACTAGCGTCGAGGTGGGTACTTCTCAATTTCTTCTTAGAAAGAGGAGTTGATGCTGAGGCAATACCCAGTTCGCTGCGTCCCGTAACGCTTCAAAACAAATTGTTGATGTCCGCAAAGAAGCTGTACTCTCGAGCGGGGCTTTGCACTCCCCACAATTACTCCAGCTGTCAGGTATTGGTAGCTCGAGTCGATTGGCAAAGCTCGGGATCAACTCGGTGGTTGACCTGCCCGGAGTGGGACAAAATCTCCAGGACCATTACATTGCACACACCAGCATGTCGAGTAGGCTTCTTTCTCTACCCAATCCCATTTGAAACTTTGGACGTGCGAGCTGAGCAAAGGCTGTAGTCAATCCAGATCTGGAACAGGCCTCTGACCTCACTACTAATGCCACATTCGACAAGGAGCAAGGCGAACTGTATTACGCGGAAAGACAAGGTGGGCAGATCTGAGACTGAAGTGTGCAATGAAAGCTGATGAAGAGTGCTAGGTCGTTGGACAGCTGGACCTCTCTCTTCCTTGGCGTTCTTGCCTGTCCTTAATTGGACCGAGGACGGTGAAGCAATACTATCTGGAATGGACGCCAAAACCGCGACGAACTATTTGCCGGAAGATACCGAACCATCCGTAAAGGCAGGGTACCGAGCGCAAGTGGAACACATCGTCAAGATGCACAAGGAACGTAGCACTGCGGGACAAGAGCTCATGTACGTGGGCGGGGGCACTGGCCTGACCAGCATCCTGCTTCATCCTCTCAGCCGAGGATCAGTGCAGCTCAAGTCCACGGACCCCTTCGACGACCCGTTGGTAGACCCACGTTACCTTAGTCATCCCTCCGACGGTCAGCTCCTTGCCGAGTCTGTCAAATACAACCGGAAGATCATAGCAACGGAGGCACTGCAGCGGACCGGGGCAACGGAAACATTCCCGGGCACCAATGTGACCTCTGACGAAGCCATTCTCGAGGCCCTGAAGCCCATTATCACCACGGTGTGGCATCCGGCAGGCACCTGCGCGATGATGCCTCGGGAAGTCGGTGGTGTGGTAGATTCAGAGTTGAAGGTATATGGTGTCGAGAACCTACGGGTTGTTGATGCCAGCGTTATGCCGATACTCCCAGCCGCACATATGCAGGGTACCATCTACGCCATGGCTGAGAAGGTATTTATTCTCCTCTTACCACTCTAAACCGGACGGAAGATCTTGCTAATTTCCACCACAGGCTGCGGATATGATGACGGTCAGTGCTTAGACTTGTCAAACCTGAACGAGTTTCGGACGGGTCGCGGGCATGGACTGGTCCCGGCTCATGTGACAATATTTGCACCGTTCAACTTGGTACCGAACCAGCAAGATCTGTTCGAAAGCCACAGAATATCCCTCTGATAGGGATGAAGCTCAATGTATCATTGACAGTGACAATGCTTGCTTAGTCATGGTCGCGGACACCACTGCCAAGTGACTAACTGCTGCCTGTGACATAAAAGTGGCCGAATAGCCACAAGCCTTAATTCCTGCTACATCACAACGAATGTGACATTTACTGTACCCTGCAAACTCTCCTGGATCACTGGGTGGAGTAATTGGGTCTTGGCCCGATTCCAAGGTCTCGAGATAAAACTGCTTAAGTGCTTATTAGTTATTAACTGCGGATAGAAAACGGAGATTGGGATACACTAAATCCGAGGGTACACGGATACCTCATAAGCGCTATAGCTTCAGCTGATTAGAGCCTCCCGTCCAAAGCCAATTCGTACACCAGCCCCTAATTCTCACTCCACGCCTAGTTCTCACACCGCATTGATAATCCATCATTTGTAATGTCGCCAAAGTTTGTTGCCGCAGTTTGTTATGTCTTATTTGTCATCAAGACTCTGGGATGGGAGATAAAAGGCACACAACCCCTGAGCGGAAAGTAGACAAAACGCCAGTGTCGTTACACATAAGACTTCCTAAGAAATCGGCAGGCCTTGTGCTATTCCAGCAACCCTAACTACAATGGACGTGGCTCTCATCACCGGAGGTAACGCTGGCATCGGCGAGGCCGTTGTTCGTCTCTTAGCCAAGACTCCCAATTTCCACGTCATTATTGGATCTCGCCGTCTCGAATCGGGCAACGAGCTTGCCAACTCTCTCAAGGAGCAAGGCTACTCTGTTTCTGCTATTCAATTAGATATCGCTTCCGACGACTCAATCGACAAAGCCATCGAGGAAATCGCCAATAACCACGGAAAGCTCGATGTCCTCGTCAACAATGCGGGCGTTCTTCTGGATACTCACCAAGACGCCTTCGTATCTACTCGAGATCTTTTCTCCCAGACATTCAACACCAACGTCTTCGGTACTGCGGCCCTGACTGAAGCTGCTCTTCCCCTGCTGCAAAAGGGCAATCATCCTCGTGTAGTCTTCGTCTCATCGACAATGGGCTCGTTGGCGGTCTCAGGCGACCCGACTACTTTCTTCTACAACGTCGATTACAAAGCCTACGACGCTAGCAAAGCGGCTGTGAACATGCTAGCAGTCAATTATGCCCGCATTCTGAAGCCTTATGGTGGAGTTTCGAACGCCATCTGCCCGGGTTTGGTCAAAACTAAGATGACTGGGTTCATAGACGCAGGTACGCCTGTTGAGGTTGGAGCTGAGCGCATCGTCCAGCTCGCAACCGCTGCACCAGGTGGTCCCTCTGGAACCTTTTCGAACAAAGATGGGCCTATTCCTTGGTAACGCTAGGGATTTAACTGCTCTGTCACAAAATTCGGTGTGGGTGTGTTGGTTGTGGGTGTGTTGGTTGCGAGTCGATTGGGTGTGGGTGCGTTGGGCATAACTAAGTGCACTAAGCGTGTAATGTATCTGTATACCATCCGTTAACTTCAGTGCCAATATCACTCTCTCAAACTATCGATCATGATTATTTCCTTGGCAGACTCCCACGATTCATCTGTGTGACCAATATGAATCTGGCACACATGGTCTCCACTCCTCCACCTCAGGCTCGTCCTCCGCACCCGTCCCCATGCGCACCTGCATCACAGAGATTGGGTCGAGGATCAGGTTCCTCAGCTTCAACTGGTGGAGGATTGCGCCGTACTTCTCGTACCGGTGTGAGCCCTGAGGCAGCGGGTCTTCCGTGAACCTGAGCTCACGCCCTGCACTAGTGGTAGCCACATGCCTCCAGGCCTCGATCACACCGTCCCACGCGATAGGGTTCTCCTCAGCATCCCAAGAGCACCTCCAGGTAAGCCTAGCGGCGCTCGAGTGGGCCGTGCCTGTGGCTTCGTATCTAAAGATGGCGGCGTGGCCGTTCCCGCAGGTCCAGATCTCCATGATTTGGAGGTTCGGCATAAGCAGGGCTGCCTTGGCGGCCAGGTGCAGGAGCTCCTGGGTGTCCTCCTGGGTGGGTTCGAGCCAGTGCTGGGACGTCAGGGCGATCGACTCGAGCTTCGGGAGTGTGCGTGGTTGGGGTTGTAGACAGTCCTTTGCGTCACTGACGAAGGACACTGCAAGGTTCTTCATGTTCGGCGCTGACATGGCCACCCAATGAAGAAATTTGATCCCAGATGGTCGGGGGGCTTTCACCCCTTGCGGTCCATGCATCTTTGTGCTGAAGTCTTCAAACAAAGAGAAAGTTTCCATCGGTGATGGAACGGTTGGACCAAAGATAGTTTTACTGCAAATCGAAGGGCCCAAGATGTAGCCGAGTTTCCAATCCGGGTAATCAGGGGACTGCGTTCTCCAACGTTCGCATCGCATGTTCCGGAGACCAGTCAAGCTCTCCAGGACTAGCCTCCTGAGATGAATGAAATCGAGCGAACGGTAATGTTGTCGGCGCATGAGAAGTGAAGACACCATCTTGACCTCGGGAAGACGGTCCCGGGGCTGTCCTGGCCTGAATTTAACGCCGAAAGTGTCAAATTTGAGGGGGCTTATGAGCCGTTCCGCAGAATCTCGATTATTATTGGAGATTGGGTTGTTGGAGCCAGACGCACTTAGCAAGACGAGGTTGTTCATGTCGTGGGCTGCAAAATCCCTCGAAAATAGTTCTTCTAGGGTGGCGGCTGGCCTGCGCATCTCAATTGGATGGCGTGCGATGTAGTCTCTCTGTGCATTGATCTCGGCGCGGTAGGGGTAGTCGTCTTGGTGCTCGATATCGCCCTTGAGCAGGTGCTCTGAGTCACATGGAGAATGAGCGCTGAGCTCTAGGGCCAGCTGCTGCCCGTGGTTGGCGTCCGTCTTCTCCCACCTTGAGAGAATATCCAATAGCTTCCAAAGAGATTTCGTAAATACGACATTGTTCCTGCACATGTCAGCATGATTTCGCGCTCAAGGCCTGTCGTATGTACGTACCTCACGGCCTCCTTGTTGCTCTGGGGCGCTCTGCATTTGTAGCATGTATAATTTAGCAGCTCAACCCGGAGCCAGATGTGCTGTATTCGCGGCATGCGAGATGTTGTCGAAGCCAAGACCTCGGCAGCTTTTGTCCCTCTTGTTCTTCCCCGGGCTATCGTCATGCCCTTCACACGACGCTTGACAATTTTTTCGAATGATTTCAGGTCTCCCTCGTGCAGAACGAGCTTTCTGAAAGTTATCTTCTCGAAGAACGCCTGCCACTCGGAGCACACGGCGGCGCAGGCCGCACGAGTCCTTCCCCCTTGTGCCGAACCGCCATTGCAGTCATCTGCCAGCTCTCCTAATATGATATCTTGCACCAGCGAAGGAAGCTTGCACCAAGGAATCTTAGAGATGGTGTATACCTGACCTCTGTGCCGTGGTCGCAGTTCCATCCTGCTCGAGCTGCCGTTCTCAAGTCGGGTTGTGGGGGTGCGTTCGGTGCTGAATGGTACGAAGGATTTATTCCTTGACGACTTTTGTGTTCCACGAAATTTCTAAGAAGGAACTAGTTTCACATATGACAAAATATCTCTTCGTGAGCAAGTCGGTGCTCTTCTGCTCTGCGCACGGGCTGGTCATCCAGGGCACTAGTCAATTGGTGGTGTATCGATCAAGACTTAGCATATCTAGCCTTTGCAACCCATCAGTAATCTGTCGTGCCGGCCATGATCGGCCTGGATTTAGCGGAGCAAACCAGAGTCTACACCAAGCCCTCTGCGCGCTGTTGGCGGAGCTGCAAAAACTTGCCACGCGCAGGCGGTCCAGCCAAGTCACGAGACCGCTGAGTTTGGCACCATTTTGTATGCCGAAACTGAAACATTTTGGAGAGCAGATTCGCATATGTGATAAAATAATTTATGCATATGAGTGCCCGTAACTTGACAGCGTTCTGACACACGAAAGAATAGTGAGCATCTCTATGTCCCCCCTGCAACGTGTTCAATATCGACGTTTCTGCCTGATGGAGACGAGGCAGGCATGGGTGACAATTTCGATTTGTCTTGGGCACAAAGCAAGCAAAACTGTCAAATGTAAATCGACATCTGTTACCTGCAGAAAGTTTTGTGGGGAAGTGTGACTGGGCACTTTCTACCTAGGTACCATTGTCCTCAATTGCTTACCACGGGTGACTTCAGGACTTGATCTCAAGCGCTTGCCGTGCCGCCTGCCCGCGTGTCGCACGTCGCACGTCGCACGTCGCACACTGCAGACACGTGTCGTCATGTGCGCCATGCAGGGAGTGAAGGATCGTTGGCTAAGAATGGCAGTCCTAACTTAGCCCAGTCATCCTTCTCACCCGCTTGTGTGACAGACGACCGTCTCGGACATTACTTGTCGGACGCCTGTGGGAAAATCGACAACGACGCTACCTCACCCGTCTACAGCTCGCTAATCTTTGCTCTTGTATAACCCTATTCATCAGTAAATTGAAGTACATGTGACCATCGAGACAACCTCAGTTGCTTCAGCGAGGCTTTCCTAGGTATTAGTCAGAAATCGCCCCGGTATCGTCAACAGCCCTGCAAAATCACCATTCAAGATGTCAAACCATGGAACGAATCCTCTGGGATTGGACTCAGAAAAGCCTGGGAACGAAACGCCTCTTGGTTCATCTGAAGCGAAGATAAAGGGCAAGGAACCTGCGGCTGAAATAGGCAACGAGGATTAAACAAACATGGGCGACGGGCAGGCGGATAACACATCGACCATGTCTTTGAGCACAGACACCGTCCCAGCCCAGGAAACTAGCATTTCCTGCGATCCCAATGAGACCTCGAGCTCCGGCACTGCTCAGGTAATCACAGCGCCCCAGCGGCTGAAAGTGGGCGAGTCGATGACCGCTCACGAAGCCAGCGGGAAGGGCGCCAAAGACATGGCCGCGTACAAGTTCTGGTCCACCCAGCCCGTCATGCGCTTCGACGAGGAGGCCAAACAAGTCGAGGACGGCCCTCTGCAGCACCTCAAGCTGCAGTAAATCCCAACGGAGCCGGCCCCGCCTGCTGTCGCGGGCTTCGAATGGGTGACCTTGGACGTGAGCGACAACGCCGACGTGGAGGACGTCTGCGAGCTAATGAACAGGCACTACGTCGAGGACGCCGACGAGATGTTCCGCTTCAACTACGGGACGGGCATCCTGAAATGGTACCTCACGTGTCCAGGCTGGAAACCCCAATGGTCGATCGGGATCCGGGCGACGCAGTCCCGCAAGCTCGTCGCCTTCATCTCGGCCGTTCCCGGTCCAGCTGCGCGTGCGCGGGAACGTCCTCGACGCCGCCGAGGTCAACTTCATCTGCGTGCACAAGAAGCTGCGGTCCAAGCGTTTGGCTCCGGTGCTGATCAAGGAGATCACCCGGCTGTGCAACAGGGAGCGCGTCTGGCAGGCTATCTGCACCGCCTCGGTCGTCCTCCCGAAGCCTGTGAGTACGTGCCGGTGCTACCATAGGGCGCTCAACTGGCAGAAACTCTACGAGGTCGGCTTCAGTCACTTGCCAGCCGGGAGCAAGCCCCAGCATCAGGCTCACAAGTATGCCTTGACAGGCCAGACGTCTATCAAGGGCTGGCGGGAGATGCAGGCGAGGGACGTCGATGCCGTTCACCAACTTCTTTCGCGACTCCTTGAGCGCTACGATATAGCTCCTGTCTATAGTCGTGAGGAGATCAGGCACTGGTTTGTCCCCGAGCTGGCTGAGGGTGATGACCAGGTCGTGTGGGCGTACGTCGTCGAGGTATGTGTTACACATTACCACAGTCTTGATCTATATGCTGCAAAACACTAATGTACATACAGGATGGTGGAGGGAGAATTACAGACTTCGTTTCCTTCTTCTCCCTGGAATCGTCCATCATTGGAAACCCGAAACACAAAGCCCTCCGAGTGGCTTATCTATTCTACTATGCATCAGAGGGCGGCCTCACTGCGCCAGCTGACCGGCCAGCATACAAGACACGCCTGAATCAGTTGATCGGCGACGCTCTCACAGTTGCGAAGCGTGCCAAGTTCGACGTCTTCAATGCATTATCTCTGATGGACAACGCTCTCTTCCTCGAGCAGCAGAAGTTCGGTCCTGGTGATGGTCTATCGCACTACTATCTCTTCAACTACCGGGTTGGTCCGGTGAGAGGAGGCATCGATAAGGAGAATCAGCTGGACGAGCAGAGGCTTAATGGTGTAGGGTTTGTAAACCTTTGAATAGAACTCAGACATGGAAGACTTCGAAGATCCTTCAAGTTGCTTCCACACGATGGCAGTTTTTAAAGCTTCGTGTTGATGCCAATGTGTTTAAAATTACTCTTTGTTATAACTTATTCTTGTCAGTCGACTGGACGCCGAGCTGTTCTACGCATGGTCGCCATGCTGCTTTGCCTCCGCAGACTCCGTGACAAGATCATGCTTCTTGAACTGACGAGCCGGGACCCGCCTCTGGAACAAGATGTCGAGCTCCTCGTACGTCCTGCCACGGCTTTCCGGCAGCCTAAAATAGCACCAAAGGAAGCACACGAAGCTGATACCGCCGAACAGGAACCCAGCCTTCCCACCCCAGTTGCCCTCGTTGCTGTTCAGCATGTAAGGGATTGCTACCGTAAACACGATGGATGCCGCTGCCTGCACGGCCGTTCCAATTGCGATGGTCTTGGTCCTCAGCCGTGTTGCCGAAATCTCCGAGATGATGACGAAGCAGATGGGTCCCACGGTCATCTGATAGATGAAAGTCCATACATCCATCATCGACGCCATGGCCCAGATGGCTCCGTTGTTATTAACGGGGATGCTGAGGAACCCGATAATGAAGAGAATGACTGTCATGGCCACTATACCAGACGTGTAGATTGTGCGACGACCCAGATTAAAATAAGCCATCAAAGGCCAAGAAATGACCGTTCCCACAAAGCCCATGGCCGTGTTACCAACGCCCACTGATCACCACCATGTTAGCTTTGTTATTAGGTCCAAGACACGCAAGATGAGTCTGAGCTTACTATTGAAAGCGTCGGAGCTGGCCAGGCCCGCTTGTTCAAAGAAGTAATTCGCATACCCAATGAGCGGGTTGCCGCCAATGACCTGGATCAGGTAGACCATGACGGAGATCTCGGTCCTCGTGAGGTTGCTTCCCTTGAAGCAGTCAAGATACGTCGTCGTGGACTCCATCTCCTGCTCAAGCAAATCGGTCTGCTCGATCCCGACCAGCATCTGCTCGACGTCCGGGCGCTTCTTGGCCGAGCTGAGCCGCAGCAAAGACTTCCGGGCGTCTTCCTTCCGGCCCTGGCGGATAAGCCAGTACGGAGACTCGGGGGCAAACGGCAGCGCTGCAAGGATAACGACAGGCCAGACCCATTGGACAGCCTGCAATGTCATTTTTAGTAAAATATTCCCACCAGACAAATCGGGGGTTTATAATCAGTGGCTAAACTCACAAAGGGAATCCTGTAGGCCCACTCGTCCAGGCGCGTCTCAACACCAGCCGCGCAGCCCTGGCCGATGAACTGGCCGATGACGAACGCCAGGTTGACAGACGCCGTCAGCACACCGCGCAGGGCGAGCGGGCAGATCTCCGAGGCGTAAGTCGGCGCGATGACGACGTAGAACCCGTACGCCAGACCGCCCAGGATCTCACCAGCACACAGCATGCCGATGGAGGTGGAGAAGAACTGCACAAAGACAAAGACGATGGAGTAGACGCAGCACACGGCGAGGGGCACCCGCCGGCCCCAGCGCTCCATGAACCACCCGCTCGCCAGGGCGCCGAGGACCTGCCCGATGGGGTTGCCCATGCCCAGCGCAGTCTGCCACCGGGCCGGGATCTCGTACGACTCCTTGCCGTCGTGGGTGACGAGCTCGCCGTACTTTTGCTGGAAGGCGGGCAGCGCGTAGAAGGAGGTGATTATCTGCGCGTCGAAGCCGGCCATGATGACCGCGATGCAGAAGAATGCCGACCAGAAGGTGGCGGCCGGGTACTGCCCCACGGCCTGCCAGAACCCCGTCTCGTGCTCGATGACCGTGATCTCCCGCGTGGAGCTTTCCAAGATGATGCCATCGCGTTTTGAGGCGACGTCGTGGACGCTCTCACCGTCTTTCTTCTCCGCCATGGTTGGTGGTGGTTTGGTGGTTAGCTGCCTGAGAGCAGGTCCTGGTATCAACTAAGATGCATGGCTCGGGGGTGTGGTTTTGGAGGACGCCGGATCCTCGCCCTTTGCTTAAGTATAAGGCGCGGTGCATGCCTTTTCGGCGGTGTTCCTCTCCGCAGATTAGGACTGGCTCGTATCAGTGTGACTTGACCGCATCAGGTGAGCATCCGTATCGGCCCGGCAAGCCTGAGGGGGCCTTATCTCCGTGAGAGGTGAGAACGGCACTTCCAGGGACGGAGTCAGACAGGTGGGCGATGTGACCAACGCGGAGAAATGCATGCTGGCACAGACCACTCTCCGGGGATCCCCTGGAGAATGTAACCATGCCCAGGAACATCCACAGGATCTATCGCACTATGATCTGCTGTTTACTTGTAACGTAACTCTGGTGAATCATCTTGCCCGTTGTTGATATCCCGCGTGTATAGCACCGCAAAGGACCACGGTCGCACATATGATGTGCCGAGCCTCGGGTGCCTGATGGACGTCTGAATCGCGTCAGGAAACGCTGGTAGGAGGAGAACACTGCAAGTAATCGATGTTCGTGGGGTTGGCTAGAAGGGAAGGGGTAGAGCCTGTCTCCACTCAGCCCCTCATTTACGATGGCAGCACTGGGCTACCAAATTATTAGAATTGGTTTGCCGGGTTAGAGATTCAAGAGAGCCTCTCATGTTACACCGGCAGCCCGTATTGAAGATTCACGGTTCTCAACACCCCGGCCAGTTAAAGAGAAGATGCAGCATATTTCAAATCTGGGCGAATACTTCTTGGAATTTGACGAGCTCTGATTACGGCAGCATCGCATCCTACCTTCGACCGTTTATCGATCCAACCATGGCCGCCTCAACAGCGTTGTTCGACCCTGGGCTGATCTCGCCCGAAGCGAAGGCCGCATTTCCCGAAGGGTACACTATTCGCCCGCTACAGAGGGACGACTACGGAAAAGGTTTCTTCGACTGCCTGAGCGTGTTGACGTACGTGGGCAGCGTCAGCGAGGAGCGCTTTCTGGAGCGCTTCGACTGGATGGCAACCCAGGGGAAGGGCATACACTATTTCCTGGTGATCGAACATGAGGGCCAGATTGTGGGGACGGGGACCCTGGTCGTGGAGAGGAAGTTGTAAGTCAGAACGCGACAGATCAGAGCACGCTTGCGGAGAACCCCGCGCTAATGACACAGTATCCATGACCTCGGAACCGTCGCCCACGTGGAAGAGATATCTATCCGCAAAGAATACCAGTCAAAAGGGCTGGGGTTGAAGCTGCTCAATGCTCTGTCGTCAGTCGCGAAATCAGTGGGCTGCTACAAGTCGAAGCTGGGTTGCAGCGAGGCCAATGAGGCGTTCTACGTCAAGTGCGGATATGAGAAGGGCGGCCGAGTAATGTCGGAGGAGTACGAGGGTCCAAAACCGGCATACGAGAGGGGTTGATAGACTCGCCTGTTCAGTGGCGTTGTGCTCCGAGAAGCCGGGAAATGGGGCTCTAACTCGTGCGGAGTACCCAGATAGGTTATCCGTTGCTCAGGCGGCACATTCCAGCAAAATAGAACGTTACATTGAATTCTCCGTGCGAGTAGCGCCCTTGATTCTCTCCGTCCCGGCGGTGGACATGACACCGGCAGCGGTCAGCCCGCTCACCCTGTACTCCCGGTGAGATCCCCGCCTTTATAAGAGGATACCGGCCTTGGTAATGGAAGCACTCTGGTTGCCGGAGGAAGTGCCAAGCTGCAGAGCCCCTGACAGGAAAACAAGAACCTCCCACGATGGCGCCGCACGCCGACCTGGACGAAAATGAAGACCACATCGTGCGCCTCCCGGCCCCCGAAAGACCGCCCTTCTCGCCCTCGCCGCCGCGGATCCTGATCATCGGCGGCGGCAACCGGGGGATCGCCTACTCCAAGGCCATCCAGAAGTCAACCAACGGCCTCGTCGTGGGCATCGTGGAGCCCATCGCCGTGAAGCGGCGCCACATCGGCCGCAAGTACATCTGGGGCAGCTCCGGCAAGCCTTCCGAGGGCCAGGAGTTCGAGACATGGGCCGAGTTCGTGCGCTGGGAGAGGGAGCGCCGGCGCAGGGCCGAGGCCGGCGAGGAGGGCGTCCCGCAGGGCGTCGACGCCGTCTTCGTCTGCGTGCAGGACCAGATGCACCGGCAGGCCGTGCTGGACCTGGCGCCGCTGGACCTGCACGTCATGTGCGAGAAGCCGCTGGCCCCGAACCTGGGCGACTGCATCGACATATACAAGGCGCTCCTGCCCGACCCGTCGGCGGCGCCGTCGAGGCTCTTCGCCGTTGGCCACGTCCTCCGCTACAGCCCGCACAACATGCTGCTGCGGAAGCTTTTGGTCGAGGACAGGGTCATTGGCGAGGTCATGGCCGTCAACCATACGGAGCCTGTGGGCTGGAATCATTTCACTCATAGCTATGTGAGGTGAGTTTACGATGACATGGAACGCTCATTCATCCGTGCATTGCCTTGTTTCTTGACAATAGCTGCTAGGGGAAATTGGCGGAAGGAGTCGACATCTGCACCATCTCTCCTCGCGAAATCGTGTCACGATATAGACTTGTTGTACTGGCTGTTAGCAGCCAACGCCGGGGGGCCCTCAAAGCCAGTTCACGTCCCCCGAGACATCTCCTCGTCCGGTTCACTCCAGCACTTCAAGCGGTCCCAAAAACCAGCCGAGGCGGGCAACGCAACAAACTGCATGTCCTGCGCCCTCGAGCCGTCCTGCCAGTACTCCGCAAAGCGGGTCTACACCAGCCCGCAGCTCAAGAGCGAGAACCAGGACCGCTGGGCCCGGATAGCCTGCCCGGAGATGGAGGAGTGCATCGCGGCGGGCGGCCCCGCCGCCGGCCAGGAGGCGCTGCTCGCGAAGCTGGCGGAGGACTACGACGCCTCGTCCATGTCTGCGGGCGAGATCAGCAGCCGGAACTGGTTTGGCCGCTGCGTCTACGAGGCTGACAATGACGTGTGCGACAACCAGACGGTCACGCTGACGTGGGACGACGACCCGGTGGCGCAGGATGGGGAGACGGAGCGCGAGGCGCTGGCGGGTAGGGCTAGCAAGACCGCGACGCTGCACATGGTGGCTTTCACCAAGAAGATCTGCCAGCGGTTCACGCATATTTACGGCGCGGACGGCGAGATAACCGCAGACAGCTCGTCTATCACGGTGGAGGACTTCAAGACCGGAGGGAGGCGGGTCTTCTACCCATATGTCCCCAAGGGAGGTGGGCATGGCGACGCAGATGAGGGTCTGGCCCGCCAATTCGTCTTGGCTGTCGACAAGGTCAAGAACCATGGCTGGGGCGTGGCACAGGCCCAGAAGGAATACATGGGGTGTTCCTTAGAAGACGTGATCATGAGCCACAGTATGGTATTTGCAGCAGAGGATGCGAGGAAAAGCAGGACCGTGGTTGATTTCCCTAAGTGGTGGGAGAAGAATGTTGTCAGGTGACTCTAGGCTTTTCCCCATGCGGTCGGCCAGCAATCCTGGATACGTAGGGCTCCAAATCCCTTGATGAGAAATGATCCTATCCAACCTCTCCTGTCTAATTTTGCACGGGTGCTAGGCTTTGTCAACCTTCGGCAGCCTCGTGACCTCAAGATGCGTTTGCTTGATGTGGGAGAAGAGTGCGGTAATATGGGGGGATATATTAGATACTGAGCATAGAGGCATGTATTCGTCCTTGTAAGGAACTTAACAAGCCACTATCGACCGCAATCGAGGGCTGAAGTCCCACTGTTGGTTTACTGTTTAGTCCAGGACCGGACTAGGCTTCGAAGCTGCCTGGCATTGACGAGCTTTTGACACAGGAATAAGAGGCTTCGGGCTACCAGAAACCATGACCAATACTACTTGTTTATGAGTACGTGTATCGGTTAGGTTACAGTATGTCTTACAGTATGTATCTATGTTTCTTCATCTCATCATACATCGTGTCCGCAAGTGCGCAGATGTCTCTCGCTCGGATCTTGAGTCCAAGCTACATCATCGCGCCCAACAAGGCCTCGGCTTGTGAACATGGTCGAGTTGACTGGAGACTTGGGGATCAGCTGGTCTCCCCTGACTGCCAATATAGAAAGGACGTGAGCAGCAGCCTGGTCCCATGTCAGCACTCATTCACTTGTACCGTCGTTCTAATCGAACTTACCTTGGCATTGATGGTCAGGACGGTCGGGTTCGGATTATCAATCGTGTCACACTCTTGATGATAGCAGGGGTCTTGCTCAACACCCGTTCCGGTGTGAAGCCCGCCAACTGGCTTTCCGATGTTCATGAAGGACTGGTAGTCGCTACCACCTGTGAATCTCGCAGCTGTGACGTTGATGCCCTTCTTGGTGTATTCGTCCACGAAAAGCTTTTCCAAGACGTCGGAACCCGGGGGTCCGGTGAGGTTATGAGTGCTGCCGTCACCATCGAAGACACCGAAGTAACCACGGGACACCATGTCGAAGTTCAAGTATGTCAAGATGTTGTTTGCGGCGGTAGCGTTCAAGTTTTGGGTGTAGTACTTGGACCCAAGGAGACCGTTCTCTTCAGCGCCCCACCATGCGAAACGGACCTTGTTCTTGACCTTGAACTTCTCGAGCGCAGTTTTCAGCTCGAGGATCAAAGTGCTTCCCGAGCCATCGTCGTTAATACCAGCACCGGCCTGCACGCTGTCAAGGTGTGCACCAAGCATGATGACGTTGGTTGGGTCGCCTCCCTTGGTCTCGGTGAAGATGTTCTGCGTGATCTTGGTCTCGATGACTTGCGTGTGTTGAAAATAGGCATCTATTGACCCTCCGGCATCGAGTCGCGCCTTCAACGCCTCGCCGTCAGCTTTGTTGATGTACCCTGCAGGCACGAATTCCGGTCCCGGGTTTTGGAGGGTCACGCCCGTGACCTTGGTCGTTAGGTCGCTGTACGCAATGACAGCAATAGCGCCTGCAGCTGCGGCGGGCTTGATTCGTCCAGCGACGGTTGTGCCATCCGGACAAGCCCCTCGCTGAACGAGCACGATCTTGTCTTTGACATCGAGGTCCGCGTACGCCTCGTTCGTACAGCCCTCTGGCCCATTGACGCCGAGGACCAAAGGCGCCGTCCAGCCTTCTGTAGATGTCGAAGGAGAGTAAGTGGGTCCAACCACCCAGTAAGACTGGTTATCGACCTTGAATGAGATTGACTTGACCTGGAACCACAGCGCAGGGAAGTCCTGGACGTAAGTAATGAAGTTGCTCGAGTTTTGCGTCCGGGAGAGAATGTAGTCAACCGAGGCTTTGTAGCCCGGGAATCCGAAGGCACGATTTCCACCATTGGCCTTGGCGATTGCGTCGAGCTCTTGGAGGTTGCCCATAAGACTAGAGAAAATCAGGCGGGCTCAGTGGAGGTACGTCATAGAATCTGACAAACTTACCCCTCGGTCGTGATCAACTCTTGATACGGCTTCGAATTTACCAAAGGACGGTACCCATCGCCACAAGTCGTGCTTGGGAACGCCGCAGCAAGCGACTGTGCAGCTCCAGAGACGAGCAAACCGGCTTGAAGCTTCATCCTGATTCCAATTGTTCCAAATCAAGAAGTCCTACTCCAATTGAAACAAACATCAGAAGCCTGAAGCTTCCAAATACCCGGGGCATGGCCATTTAAAGAATAACTCGCTGCATATTCAATCTCATTGTTCAACATGGCTAGGGCGCGAAGCCCCGTGAGCAGGCCCCGAGAGGTCGAGATTGTGCGCCAAGGTCCCCGCACATCTCGGCGCCTTACTGACCTTCCGGATGAAGAGAGGGCAAGCGATATCGAGTACTTGGCAAAATAATGGTTGATAACGTGATTGAGCGGCTTCCCCTTCAAGACAGGAGCCGCGCTGTGGCCGAATAGAGCAAAACGGCTTTCCTGGTGCATTGGTTCGATGCTGTCGGTGGGATTGGAAGTAACTATGGATGAATAGGTCGAGGCGCCGTCTCACCGTGAACCATCTTGGGCCAGCTTGTGAGTAAATTGTGGTTCAACTGCGTATAGGCACAGCATGCAACACGGACATAGGCAAGGCAGTCTTGGTTAGATTTTACCAATCGCACTTATCACATTGTATTTTTCACAAAAAGGGGGATTCTTTCAAAAGATGGTACCAACCCCCGGCTAGTCTCAGAATTGATAATTTATTCCAATTGGTTTATTTCACTCGTAACTGTCTCAGGACCTGGTTCAGACGAATAGCCTTTGTGGTGTTGGCGTATAGGTGGGCTCGGGTGGCAGACTGGTATTGGCCAAGTTTGCGTCATCCTCGAGAAGGCCCGAATCATCCCCATCTGAAGTGCTCTCCGGACTCGTAGAGCCACTCGGTGTGGGAGTAGCAGTCGGAGGTGCAGATTCGCAATCGATGTCTTCAGGGACCCCATCACTATAGAAGTTGGCGCTGAATGAAGCGTCCAGAGAGGGCTGGAAGTTGGCGTCGGTAAGTGGGCACCGTGCGTGCTCGTAGGTGATGCCGTTGAGCTGTTCCTTGGCTGCTGCAGGCAACATTCCCCAATCTATCAGCGGCGGGTTCAGCGCATACTGTGCGCTGTCGGCTGAGGGGAAGACATATTCCTTAGAGTCGTAACCGACGACGGGATGCGTGTTGACTCCCCCTCTGGTAAGCTCCCCACCGCTGTAGATGGTGTTTGTGCTTGATCCGGTGTCCCAACTCTCGGGGCCCGTGGAGTAGCTGACGCCCGCGATGGTGTAGTCGTAGGCATCGCTGTTGCAGGCCGTCCGGTAGATCCATACCGCAACGCTCAGGTAGTAATGTTTGTGGTTCTCCCCATCGGACTGGACCTTTGGTAGATACCACGAGTACAATACGCCAGTGCGATTATTGGAGGACCCGACTCTGGCGTAGATCTGGCCCTTGGAGCTGTCCCGACAACGCTCGCCAATATCTCCCGTAGGTTTAAGTCCGGAACTGTTGGGTTGTTAGTGGATTCTGCAGCTCGTCTGAGATGCCACAAAACATCTCTAGACTTACCCATGGTAACCGTCCCTATCAACAGCCGCGTATGGGAAGCATCCACGACCATCATTAAGTCCCGGCTTAAAGAGTAGCTCCATATCGCCCTCCGCGCCGTCTGCCGCGTATTGTTGAAACGGTGTAATCTCGTCGTGATTCTTCCACTTATCGCCCATCGCAACGTCTCCATCCCGGCGCATAATACTACGTGAACATACGAGACCCGCCAGGCTTAGGTGAAAGAGTGATTTCAACGAAAAGAATGACATGGCTGCTGTGTATCAACGAAAGAACACAAAGCCGATAGAGTGAATGACGTTTGGTCTAAAGAGAGTGATGCTGTCTTTCCGACTGACATTCGCTGGAGCAAAAGGCGGTTGTCTGGAATAGTTATATATGTATAAAGTCATGATGCATTGCGCTTGTACGCATAACTTGATCAACGCGAACAGCTCTTCTCGCCCCTGTTCATCCCATGCTGTCCATCAAGGATGTTGTTTTTAGAGTTACTGAAACAACACCCCACATGCTCCTGCCAAGAACGGTGATGAGCGTGACGAGTAAGTCAATGCTTATTTCTTGGCCGTACCTAGATGTTCTCTTTTTTTTTTTCGTTTATTCATCCCTTTCATGCTGGAATCCCTTCTAGAGAATTCCATATTGCTCGCGCCACTTCCAACCGACCGTGTATCTTGACTCTTATATATCGACTCCCGTTTATCCTAGATGTGCCAACGCCAACAGAGAACCCTGGATATCAAGGAATCAGATAACATAGGATTATGCAGTGAGCACAGTACTAGTAGTACGTATGCATCGATTTTAATGGACTTCAATACATGCGAGCCGTAGGACGCATGATTCAGTCTGTTGACAAAGACAGCCTGCAGCTCGATCCTGGTTGAAGATCAAAAGGGATGCGCATATTCTTGATGCCACTGAAGACTCCCTACTTTGGTAGAGATCTGCGCCACGCGCGTGGAAGACCCCATCGCTTTGTGGACTGAGCCACACCACCTCTCGACTGGTCATGATTCAGTCCGCTAAGAATAGACAGCATGCAACCAGATTCGGATGTCCGGCCTTTACATCCAAGTGGAAGGTCTTGTCTTCAATATACTTCAAACTGCCAATACTAGAATATTCTGTGAAGTTGTTATTTTAGTAAAATTAAAGGAGAAAAGAGTTCTGGATTGGTTGATCACGATCTATCTTGAGAATTCAGCAGGCCCCAAGACGGGAAGAGGCAAGCCATCATGAACTCAAGAAAAAATCCGGGCATTCCCGTCGAGGCTCAAAATGACTCGCAATTGAACAACAGGAGACAGATCTGATTTTATATAGATCTGAGAATCGCCCTCAATTGGGACACAGAATCTTAGAATCACCATTCGCCCGTGAGCAAGACATTCGTTGTATCTATTCAAATATTCAAGGAGAGCCTCCGAATTACTGTCATTCGCTTACAAATATGACCTCACACTCATTTTCAATTATCTTTCTGGCGCTTGGCCTACTTAGTACCATTGTAAGGAAGAATCCGTCCAACGAGCTATTGTCTAATATGGTGTATCCGTCTGGGTAAACACGATGCTGACCTTCCATTTCAGATATCCAGCGCCCCCACTCGGCCATTTGCTGTAAGTCTTCTCTAGCCTCTTTGCCTCTGTATCGGTACAGCGCTAACCTTTGTTCAGGGGAATAATGCTTACTCCGTTGATTTCACGACGGATGAGACCGAAACCCGATGGGTGTTCCAAATTTACGCAGACGGCTACACAGACAAGGACAAAGAGGGCAACCAGATACCCCTGGACAATCTGATGATCAACAAGGAATCTAAACGTCTGACCGTTCTCAAAGCTATGAACGGGCTTGATACGACAGAACCGCGGCTCAAGATGCGGCAGGTACTCAAGGAGTGCTGGGAGCAAGCAGGCCTCCAGCCGTCGGAGCTGAAGGAGGTGCTGGGCTACATGATCGAGAACACGAACATGAAGGAAGCTATTGCAGACTGCCGTACCACCCAAGGTCTAGCAGAGAGCGACTCTTTTGAGGTCACCGGCACAGATACGGATGCAAACAAGAAGACGTGTTGGGACAGGCTTGGAAACACAATCTTCTCATCCGCTATTCGGGGGGCTATCAGGGATTTCGATATCAACAAGCAGCTGATCAGCATCAAGGTGGATAACGGGGGCAACTGGGATCATGTCTACTACGGATTCTCAACATGAATACAATCGTGAGCCACCATTTCGGACAGCTACCTGCGTTGTAGCTGCTAGAAGAATCATTATTCGGTAATTGCATTCATGAAATGTTCCCTAGAGAGCTATAGCATCCACAGCCAATCCACTGCGGAAATTCTCAATCATCAAGTTCTCGTGAGCCTTTATTTCCTGTCCCAGGCAGTAGGACCTCCCTGAAGTTGTGAACAGGACCCTTAGCTTGTGACCGCTTTTTCGCAACCGGGCCAGGAAAAGGGCCAATGGTTGTTGGATGCTCCGATAATCCAGCACATGCAGGCCATCAATAATGCAAAAGGCTGTAGGTTTCTGTACAAGCTCTAACACATCTTCAAACACATTCAGGGCTTCTTCCCATGAATCCAGGGTCCCACTCAAGCGGGAAAAACGCTCTTGGGAGAGATCCGTGTCCGTGTCGAACCGTGGTGGGAGCAGCTCGATCAGTTGCCGTATTAAAGCATACAGCAAGGCCACCAAAGATTGAGATTCGCGCGACGCTGTTCCATCCGTTCGACGTATATGGCAAAAATACGATATAACGCTGAGATGGTTTTCGTCCATCAGGTCGATAACTTTGCTGGCCAACAACGTGAGAGGATTGCTGGAATCCGGACCTTCCACAAAAGGGCCACCTAGCCATAGTAAAGAAGACCTGGTACCTTGTGACCACTCGTGGAGTCTCGATATGATCTCGGGGTCGAAAGGTAATGGTTGGTAGTAGTCAAGTAGTGGGCGGATTCGGTCTCGACAAAAGTGGTCTTCAAGACAGGCGGAACGAAATCCGACATCATCGGATAGTTCCATTACTATGTGGAAAGCGAATGTTAGCGAAGTTAATGTGACTAATCATTTGCGACAACTTGCCTCTGGGACTGTAACGAGCGATTGCCACCCTCCGGCGTTCCCCGCCCCAAAGAGTATTCGGGAGTGACTGGCTTGCTTCGCTTCGTAAATGCTCTTTCAAAAGCAGCTTTAACATATGCCCAGCTCGTTGTAGGTCAGTCGGGTACTCTTGCCAGTTCATCTCGTTTCGCGCCTCTTGATATTGCAATTTCTCTTCGCTGTACTGCCTTTCAGCTTGCTGCCTTGCGAGTCCTGTTGTGCCAAGCCTCTTGTCCACAAACCCTTGATTTTCAAGGTTGTCTACTTTGTGTCTGACGTATTGCCCCTCTCCCCTGTGGCTTTGCTCGGCTCGATGGCGAATCCGCTTTGCTTGGTATTTGATACTTTTCAATTGCATCCCGAATTCAAGCACAAGGTCATCGTTGAAGCTTTTCATCATTTTTTTATACCATTTCTTCATGATCCATTCCATGACATCGGACAGGAAGAGAAATACCTTTCCATAGAATTCGGATACCAAGCGCATCATTGGTTCTGTCCGGAACAATTCGATATCACCTTGCATATCTTCACAATAGTCCCCTATTGTGGTCAGACTTTCGGCAATCCCTTGGGCCAGCTTCTGATGGTTGTCACTAGCCTTCAATCGCACATTAGTCTTGTTTCCACGTTTAACGAGATGGTGCTTCTTGAACATGGGACATACTTGAATGACGACGTATAAAACGCCTGTAAAGATCGAAATGTAGTCATTTCCCTCCGGAAGAATACCCAGTAGAGATTTATGGGAATTGATAGTTTCGCAAAATCTGTGAAAGCGCGTTTTGGTCCTGCCTATGAACCCACTTTTTCTCTTTTCCTCAGACTTCAAGTGAATCTGATGCACTTGATCGACAACTCCCTCAATGGTAGGAGTGAATTGACCAAGTTCGACTCGTTCATGTTTCGGAAACGTCTGATAGAACTCTTGGAATTTCTGTGCCATCGTAACTGACTCTGTACGAATGAAATCATCCAGCGGGCTATGGTGGTCCCTGAGTTTAGATGCCTCCGTGAGAAACGTGCTTTTTGTTGCCCCAAAAACAATGAACAAGAAGAGCCTTACCCTGTTTGTGAGTATTCCGAGTTCTGGTTCTGGAAGAACTTGCGCAGTACATTCAGCATATCAGGCGGCTCATTTCTCATCTCCTGTGAAAGCGCTTGCCCGAGCTCATGAGCGTCGTTGCCAGGGGGCAAGCGAGGTGCAACCTGTTCGCCATAAGCCTGCAAGATCTGGCTAGATTCGCTCATCGTGATTATTGAGTCGGGGGGGGGGGGCTCGAATTAGTCCTTAATGTCAAGTGTGTCCTTATGATTGACGCCACTACTTTAGTTTTGGATGTGTCGATACCGTAACAACTTTCGTTCGGTGGGGGTCAAAGTAGGACCAATCTACATCTGTGATTCTCATTATATTTTCAAACGAGGAAGGTGACGCCGGACCCGATCACCGTGATGTGACCATTTAGTTCCGTGGAGGCAACTGCGTAATCAATGCTGCCTAAGTCCTGACCACTTTCTGCCTGAATGTTGTGGAACGAGAAAGTTGACGCCCGACCCGGGTACCATCTACATTTTCACCATCAAGCCTTTCCAGATGCGTAAGAAAAACTGCCTAAACCAAAGCCACTTTCTGCCTCAATGCTGTGAAACGAGCAATTTAAGGCCATGGGCATCAAGTCCCCGTCACAAGAGCACCGCAGTCTCAGACACAGCCACCGTGATCAACAAATAAATATCCATGGATAAGCATGAAGGCGGAATACATGTGTAACTAGGACCACTAGGCTGGCTTTTGCTCCTTCTCGCTACACGACACGGAGAATCGTTCGCCAAGACATGCTGACCACCCTCGGTAAAAGCCAGCCTTCACCGCTTTGAACATCGCCACCACATGTCTCGCGCCGGGCGGCAGTGCGTACACGTGTAAGAAAACCACTGGCTGATCTCGAACTCTGGTTCAAAGGCTTCAGCCTAAAGATAAGACGGCGTTCAAAAGTCCCAGCGTCCACAGATCCTCCAATTGCATTATCGTGGGCGGAGTAATCTTGTGCCACTGAATTATCGTGGGCGTAGTAATATTCAGCCACTGAATATGCGGCGATGGAACCACCTGCTAGCCGATCTCCCACCCACAACTTTTGCGGCGGCTTCATCATGAGGCTCTGAACTACTGGGATATTTCAATGAGCCCACCCAAGCCCAGACATGATGTTCTTTTTCTGATTTTGACACGAACACCTTTCCCCAATTCAAGGGATTTCGTTATCTCAGACAGCTCAGATCTCCATTAAACGCTCCAGTTTTTAGGGCCTAAGCTTCCTTACTAATTAAAGTGGCTAGGGTGGCAGTGCAGAATAGGCTTGTTAGGGGTGGGTTTAAACGCATTTAATGAATATTTAAGACTAAAACGCAAAAAATTTAAGACCTAGGTATGCATTTATATAGGATGATAATAACGCCCTTTAAACACTCCTTAATTATATATTCTTCCCAACTAGTAATTTTAATGTAAATAAGATGCTAAATAAGAAAATTAACTAAGCTTTTTTTTTCTATTTTCATTTTCCTAAATTTCCTTCATTCCATAAAACGCGATTATACTAATTAATTAAGGGGACCTAGGTATATAAAGTACCTTTCTTAATTACCCTTATCTTATTCTCTTAATTTTTAAGCAAAAAGAGTACAGCTTAGGAGATAATAATTAATAGCCATTTAAGAAACTTAAAAAGGTATTTATATAAATTAGGAAAAATTTGCTAGAAAGTATAAGGAGTTAAAAAAAGGCTCCACTGTTAAGAATAAGCAAAGAAATTAAGGGCGTATCTTAGTCCTTATATAGGCAGCATTTTAAATACAGACCACCTTAGCCGCGAAGCTAACCCATTCTCCCCAGCCACACCTTATATAAGCATAGATTTTAAGCCTGACTCAGCTTTGCAGCCAAGGTGGTCTGTAAGTCAGAGATAAGGATTTCGGGGCATTGAATAATACATGCAAGTAAAGAAAGCGAAGAAACGAATCAACCAGTACATCATTCCTCAATCTCCTTTCGTCAAGGTCTTGGCTCTTACTCTCATTGGTACGTCCCTCCTGGTCGAAGATGTCGGATTCCATAGAGACCTCCAGCCTCCAAAGCGGAGTAAGCCAAGAAGACATGGGCAGCAACGTGGACAACCTACAAGAATCAGCATCTCAAGACGATCAGTGCACAGAAACTCCCATTCAACCCCCGCCTACCAATCCTCAGTATGAGCGATTATGGATACGGTACCGGACGGAGTATCGCGATCAGAAGACAAACAGCGTCGTCTGGGAAAAGAACTCTCGAACACCCATTGACGACGGCCCTGATGGCATCGGTTCTATGAAAGACCCGATATTTGAGGTTTTGACAACATACAGAGCCAGAGGTGATAATACAACCGAGAAGCGCTCATCCCGGACTGACAATACCGAGGGGAAAGATCCCCCACCGCGATCTTTCGGCACTCCAGCTGCTTACAAGTTGCGGATCTACTCGACAGCCATTCGCAATGCTTTGAACTCAGTTGTTCGGTATTATCCAAGCCAGTCACTTGCTGGTGACGTGCTTGAGATCAAGTGGCCGTATCCTGTCTTGGTGCACCACTACGATCCACTTGTGGAGTTCCGCGAACAAGTCCTGTTGCAAGAGCCAAGCGATTTGTGCGTGAGGGAGGCTCATGCAGCCGAGGATATTCAGGCTCTTTTGAGCTATCTCGATCAGACCGTCATGGACGACATCAAGGCTGAGATATCCCGCCTCGAGAGAGGCTGCGTCAGCTTCGATAACCTGTGGTTCAGCCACAAACCAGGAACAACGGTATTGAAGTCTACCAGGGAAAACCCTCACTGGCGAGCATGGGTGATCAAGGAAGTTGATGGTGGAACCTTCGTCGATCCTCCTGGGCCGTGGATAATACGAGGCTGGTCGCTCGCCTTCAATGGCCTGCATCTTGATCGTGTGCGACAATCGATCAAATGTTATGAAATACTCTGGTGAGATGCCTCACGAAGCATTCAGTCGCTTCATTCCTGATACTACCGACATCAATGACGAGGAGGCCAAAAGACTCATCGACTATGGGAAATCATATTGGAACCTCGTCCAGAAGCAATGCAAGTATCATTTCGGTGATTCTTCCACCTTCCCATTCAACAAGGTAAGTGGTCTTAATATGGGGTCACACGAAATAGATTGATCCTTGTGAACATAGTATTTTTCTGCTCCACTTGATCACTCTCTTGCGAGAGCAAATAATGTAATGATTGCGCTGACAAGGCCGTTCCAGGTTGAAGGGCTCGTGATGACAGATATGCAGCAGTACTATACGGCCAACAGTCGTCTGAAGCCGGACTTCCTGGACGGTTCCGATCTTCGCAGATGGATCAGCGATTGCATCTGCGCTGTTTGCAGGATGAAGTCGATCAACCTCGAGACAAGCGCACAGTCCATCTTCGAGAAGTACTGCAAGAAAACGCGACTTACTTCTCCGAAGCTCACTGATCATCAGTATCTTCTGTGTCCGTTCGAAATACCTGCATTTGTCTTCAAGACACGAACATGGGGTGAGATTCCGTACCAGCTAAGGCACTGACAGTCTCTGTGTACTAACAAAAAACAACATTTTGTTAGACACGTTTCACGTCAAAAACTTCAGAGAGCCACAATTTCAGCAAAAGATGATCGACAGCTTAGTCACAGATAAGGATCGAGTAACAACTTTGAAAGCTCTTGCTGAGAGCTTCATACGAGTGAACCAAGATGGTGATACTATTGAGAGGCAAGCATGGACTGCAGACTTTGTCAAGGGGAAAGGGAACGGAATAACATTCCTCTTGCATGGAAGACCAGGTGTGGGTAAAACGTACACCGCAGGTCAGTATGATCTTCTCTCTTGGTGTTTTTTTGCTTTTGAATTTTTTGTGTTGAAAAGTTTAAATTGACAAATTTCTCAGAATGCATTGCCGAGTACACACGACGACCACTCATGACACTGACAAGCAGTGACATTGGGACAGACCCGAGCTTAGTGGAATTGAATTTGATGAAACACTTCAAAACCGCGAGAAGCTGGGGAGCCATACTGCTTATAGACGAGGCCGATGTTTTCATGGAGCGGCGGTCAAGTAACGATTTGACGAGGAACAGCCTCGTAGCGGGTCAGTATCCACATGAATTTCGAGGCTGCCTGCACCTTTTCATGATAATTCAAAGACAGCCTGATTCTCAATTCATCATTAACGGTTGCAAATTAATTACTAGCAACAAGGGTATTGACCAAAGCATTTCCACAGGGTTCCTGCGTGCCTTAGAATTCTACGACGGCCTTCTCTTTCTCACAACAAATCGTGTTGGAGCCTTTGACGACGCTTTCATATCCCGGATCCACGTCAAATTGTACTATCGAGATTTCACTGATAGTGAACGCCAGGATGTATGGAAGACCTTCATCGATAAACTCCACAGTGATAGCACGGACTCGGAGTCGGGGAAGGTGTATATGCGAGTTAGTTTACCCGCCCAGGAATACATTGAGGGGGACCAAATTCGAGCCATTAGGTGGAACGGAAGAGAAATCAGAAACGGTACGTAAACTTTGCGCCGGACTATGGATCATGTATCTTCTTGGATGCAGTGGAAAGTGTATTGTGAGCTAATCTTTCTATTCAAAAAGCCTTTCAGACTGCGGTTGCCCTTGCCGAGCATGAAAACAAGCAGGACAGGGAGGGGACAATTCTTGTAACCGAACGCCACTTGAAATCAATTTTGGCACTCTCCAAAGACTTCAAGAACTACCTGGCAGAACTAAACGACGGCCGTGATGAGGAAATGAGGGCTCAGGTGAGGAGAGAGAGGCTGGACGACTTTGAAGATGCGTCTGGACCCAGAAGGTGACCATATTTAATACTCGGGAATCACCTGGCAAGCGTGTTCGATTTTCTATCACTTCCATAAAATGGCGTAATTTAGTATGCTTCTTTTTTCAGTTTACCACAGGCAAAGCTATATCGATCAAATTCAGCGGAATTAGCACTCTGCGCGCATTCACAATGTTCCACGTCAAGCAAGCCCCATGCTCAAACCACTAGAGGGTATTCGAATTCAGACCACAGTCACCACTGGCTCTCATTTTATCCGGGGGACCTCCACATTTGACTTTAATCTTTGCAACGCCTCACCTCGTGCTTGTGCTACCGGTCTCACGTTTCGCTGCACCACCAGTGATAGCTATCCGGTGGGAACGGACACCTTGGACGCGCGCGCCTGTGGACGGTGCCCGACATCTGTACGCGGTTTTACAACAGTACCATGAAGTTCATTGTGCTTTCAAAAAGCATGCACGAGTATGTGTTTGCTCCATGCACGCATTTCATATCGCACAAAGGCAAACGCCCGAACCAATCTTGGGTCAACCTTGCGGGTACAATTTGTAGGCCAGGGGGTGGGGAAAGAGGGAAAAAAAAGAGGAGCCAAAACCTTGGAATTCGAGCTCCACCTCTTCCTTCTCTCTTTATTCTGGTACTGGTCTCTGGTTCTCATTTGGTTTGAAATAATACAATCTTCTGCAGCGACCATGGCTTCAACACAGCCTGTGGTCGCGACCATGGTCGTTACAGGCTTGACCACAGTCTTTACCCCTCAGAGCGCATGCCTAAGCACCTATGTACTCGATTCCTGGTTTACGTTTGGCGTAGATGGTGATACAACAAGAACGTCTTTGTATTATTTGGTAGGAGACTTCCAAGTCCGGTCGTCAATAATTCAAGATAAAAGGGCGATTGCTTGCACGCCGCAGGGCGGCGGGATACTTCTAGGCATGCCATACTTTTCTCCTGGACTCTTGTGCCCGCTGGGCTGGACCACTCAGCCACTGGGGGCTGACGATGGAACCACCAATACAGTCTATTGTTGTCCTAGGTATGGAATCTAACGGTATCTCTATTTCTCACTCTATGATATTGATAGTTCCCAGCACTCTGACACTTGAAGTCAAAAATTCCAATGAGCTTTTCTGCAAAGCCACTTTGGATTCGGACACGCTCTGGTATCAATCGGAAACTGAAGAAGCCACAACGTACACCGAAATATGCCTACCACAGAACCTCGATGCCTCGGACTCAATCCTTACCGCTCAAATCTCCGCCACGCCCATAATGCTGCTGCGTGAATCATCAGACCTCGAATCAGCTGCAACTCTCTCGGCTGGCGCCAGCCCCGTCCGATCTCCAAGCACCACACCTACTCCTCGATCAACTGCTAATGTAGTAGGACTCGGGGCTCCAGTCACCGACAAAGACTCTCATTCCTCTCTTTCGAATGGTGTTATCGCCGCAATTGCCGCTTCAGCTGCCCTGTCGGTAATTGTGCTCGTCGCAGCCTTCCTCTTTTTCAGAGCGTGGAGGCGCCGATCTTCAAACAACGAGCCGCAGCCTGGAAAAAGTGCTGGGAACAATTCAGGCTCTTCAAATGCTTACGAGGAAACAAAAGCTGAGATGGAAGATCCTGTGTCTGCTCGAGAATTATTAAAACAAAGTGGCGCATATCGGGGCAAGCCGGAGCTGGGAAGTGAAGTCGACAGAATACATAGCAGCAATCATGACGAAGCGGATAGAACACTTCCTTCCAGCACTCAGGATCACGTCACGGAATTTAATTTGCCTGGAGATAGGGATTTCAACGGGTTGGTTCATGCTTATCCAGCTGAGCTGGAATAGGTGGATGTCAGTAGGACTGCGACAGTCTGGCTGCGGACGCATGGATAGAACTGGACCAGAGACCCTTTGTACGGCCATACTTGGAGCAGGAATGTTGAGTAATCCCGATCATGGATAATCTGATGGTAACCTTGGGTTCTCGTAGAAAGAAAATCACACCTCGATGTACTTGGCACAAACGATCCTGACCACCGGTCGATGCATAAACGCCGGAGTGACAGCCGGTCTAGAAGCACCCGAAAATGAGCTGGCACCATAAATTGCATGTTTTTAACCCTAATTCCCGTAAATGGAACTTACGTCCTACCACACTGTACGACAAGTCGCAGAATTGTAACTCGGCATTGACGGTGGTCTGACCACACAACTACCCTGATGTCCCGACACATGTGGCATAATCTCAGTCTTCCAATGTTGTGCTCGGGTGCACAAATGAACAAACATGTTTGTCGCTATGAAATAGAACACTCACGATACAAATCATAGCGAATGAATTTCGTGGAAGAATTCGGCAACGGTTGCTTGCAAATTCCTGCAGACAGAGACATGGTTCCTATTCATTTTCTGCTTTTGAGACAAAATTTCTTGTCTTGATTCTACACCAGCAAATATGGCGTTCGGAATGGGCAAACCGATACCATGACCGATTCATCCTCACCATTTGGCGAAGCGCAATGTGGCGGCCGCAATACCATCACTCAGATGAGTTTCCTTCAATACACGCGGCATCTGCCACTAGTCGACCGTTCTGGCGCAAAATCTATCACGAAAACCAAGTTTTATCTAGCACCATCATTTGATATCGTAAATTCGAGCCCTTTTAGTTATGTGGCATACATTTTTCAGCTATCCACACTTTCGTCAACGAGACCCCTCAGTAGTATGTGCAGGTGCAGCCTTCAGCGGGACAACCGATTGCTATGGATTTCCCGGTTAGTAAAAAGATACAAGACATATTCGATGCTTCGATAGCCAACTCACCAGGGTAGATCACGCAACCTTGGGAAGTCTTGGTGCAGTCGGTCCCTTTGGCACCGCAGTCTGTGCCCAGCTAATTAGTGGTGATACATATGACTCCCCAGACCACGTATCTTACTGGTGTCCTCGCATGGTCCGGTGTACTCCGGATAATCGCCGTATGCTTCACATCCATCTTGTCTGGATTGCAAAGCATCCGGGTGCAGTTTCACGCAGAGCGCGGCTGGCACGAAGAAAGCAACAAAGGCGTCGAAACGCATTGTGAGATGCTTTGAGAGAAGAATGCCTTCCTTTGTGTTTTTGAAATTGTGACAGAACCTTGAACTTGATTTCCCTTGAATGTTGACGCAGAGTTGCAACTGCCATTTGAGAGAATGGGTGCGGGACTCCGACTCTAAATACGTGAAAGAGCCAATACACAATTGCTTATGCTTTCCGTACTGTATCCACATTGTAAGACATCCGGACGTCACGTCGCTCGCCCGATTGGTCACTTGGCACACATATGCTTTGCCGCTCATCTCCGTCCTTAATGAGCGCAAGTGAAGGCCATAGCGTAGAAATGTTACGCCATTACTTAAATGCTGGACTTGGCGACTTGGCCCTTTTTTTCTATTTGTGGTGCTGGCCCGACACCATGACCACCCGTAGGGCACGGACGGCTGTGTGACGCTGTTTGACAGAGTCCGGCCGCGCAGCGATGAGTCTGGCTGATGTGAACATGCGGTCTCTCTGCTTGAGCTCACGTACGCCAGTCCGGACCCAGTCACATACTCAAAATTGTTGATCAAAATCAATTGGAATATCTGGCGGCGTGTCATTGAACAAAGGAAAGTGTACCTCGGTTATTGTTTGGGGTTTCTTGGTGCGCCGAACAATGGTTTCCTCTAACATGAGACACTCGGAACTCAGAGATCAAAGGAAGACTCGATTCAATCATACAGCGACAGAATGGCAACTTCGCCCTCCTTCGCATACTACAATGCATCATATCTCAATTTGGTTGGTTAAAACTCGTCTCTTCGAGCAGACGATGAGGAGGCACAGCCGAAATTCCGGGCAGAAAGATAGTCCTACAATGCTGCGGTTAATTCCCAGATACATAAACTTGACTGTCTCGAATAGCTGCACACGGTGCATAATAGAATTCAAGAGATCTTGGTATGGCGTCCGCTGACTGCCTAGCGTCTTTGTGCGGGCGGCACGTCCCAGTCCCACCGATCGTTCTTGCCTTCTATTTTTACATATCATGAAGTTCAACAGTACGGAAAAGCCGACACATGGTATGGATAACCAAGCGGCCGGCTTTTGTTGTATGATGTAGTGTGGACTGGAAAGTCTTCCACGATTCGGCTCACTGAACGGCTCGATGTCTTTGGCCCGGTCCTCAATGCGATAGTCACTAAATTTCTATCATAAAGAACATGCTATTAATAAATTTGAGTTGGGTATTAATCTCCATCTGACTGCTGTTGGATTCCTGTTGAATGTGAAAGGGTCAGATCAAACTTCATGACCAACGTGAAACTGACCATTCATCACTCATCTATTATACATCAATAATTATCTATCAATTACTAAAGTTTCCAAGGAACAAAGACATCATGAGCCTTTCGCCTAAACGCAGCAAAAGCATCTTGAGCTACCTCGCCGGGGGACACCCCAGGTCCACACGAACCGCTCCGTCTTCTTCCAAACGGGAACATCACAGCAACAAGTCTCAAAGCAAAAGTCGAACTTCGATTGATGAGAGATCCCACCCAACCTACACATCTAAAACAAGCGCAGACGAGTCCAAAAGTCACCGCAGACACAAGAGCACCCGGTCGCTGGACCATCGGTCAAGTTACAAAGGCGACCGCAAGTCGTACCAGCCTGAGCCAAAACATCAACGTCAAGGTTCGTATTTCGAGGACTCCGACTCCGAATCACAAAAGGAGAAATCCTTCTTCTCACACGTTGCTTCCTTTGTAGATGACCGGCGCTATTCACACACAAGCCAGACTGAACAAAGTCCCACCGATCCCGAGTCACCCCTCGAGCTGCCTTGGCACCGGGAACCAACAGTCGCTGACGCAAAAAAGCACCACATCGCCCCAGGGCGGTGCCTGAAGCACTGGGACCCCGACGGAGAGCCCATACTGCTGCTGACATCGGTGTTTGATGCTAATTCTCTTGGGAAATGGGTCCTCGACCAGACGGCGCGCATCTACGGCGAGCACGATGAAATGACAGAGCTCGCGGGCGACTTCTGGTTTGAACACATCAAGCTGGGGGGCAAGATCAAGCACGCGAAGAGCCGCCTGCCGGACATTGCGGATTCGAGTGTCCGGCAACGTGTCAAGGAGTTCATCACCTCCGGCGATAAGCTCGTCAATGAGCTGGGGGAGATATTGAAGAAGTGTGAGCAACGCGTGCTGGAGGTGACAGGGATAAACGAGATACCGAAGCTGGGCCACAAGAGCGTCGTCGTCTTCATCGACACCTTCATCGGCCGTACCCCTGCACAGCGAGATGCATTTGACGATCTTACACGGAGCATACGGGAGTGGAATAACTCGTTTGATACAGGCTGTGCAAACCTACTGTAGTCAAAGCCATTTTTAGTGGATACATAAAACTCAATATCATTCTGTAGCCTTACAAGACCATGTCATGATCAACCATGTATTCCAGCTGTGAATCACAAGAATGCGTGACTGCTAACTCTCTCTGTTTTGAAGTCCCCCGCCTAAGAGTGCTATTCCCTGTGACGGATGAGTATTTTCAAAGTATTTTCAACGTGCGGGAATGGTTGACACTTGTTTTCTTGGATAAAATGTTTGAGATGCTGGCCTATGGAGGCTCTTCTGACAAGCGTTAGCCACCAACATGAGCCCTCCCCAAAATGAACGAGGAAGGCGTAGATTGCGGTTTGGAATTACATTCCTGCACGTTGCACTCCATTCAATTACAAGTGTTCATTCAGAATTTGAGTGGGATTCATATCAGTTCCACGTCTTTAACCATTTATCCGTGATAATCTCATAGGAAAAGATGGGAATTATAGTGCAGGTCTGGGGCTCATCAGATGGTGGATGCACTGTGACAGACGGCCATAAAAGTGTTGCTAGTGATTCTAGACTTTTGGGAGCAAATCTGATATCAGACGATCGCAGCCACTGCTGTTTGATATGTACACCATGCTGTGAATGGTGTCCCTAAATTTACATACAAAAGGCCCGGGAAATCCCCGTATACCTCAAAACCAATACCATAGCTATCTCACGCAATCGAGGCACTTGAAGCCTACGACATTCCACTTCTTTATGTGCAGATTCCGAATTCCTTCAGCCAGTTCGATCAATATGAGAAGCCATGATGATAGGTTCTGGTCGAAGCATGACGCTGAGCCGCCTCAAACACGCCCTGAGGAACGACATGGTCGACACCATCGCAAAGTGTGTACATGAGATTGTCGAGAAAATCTGATGATTTATATAGGCTATGAAACTTGCTAACACATTTGAAAAAAACAAGCACTCGAAAAGCTCGCGAGAAATCGCCCAGGAGCCTGTCCAAACCCCAGCGGAGCCACAACACACGCACGCGCCCAACGGGAGTCATCATCAACGCGTTACCATATACAGAAGAGTCAAAGGGCCTGATGGCAAGGAACTTCTGGTTCGGAAAGCTTCCATCGAAGATGCGGAGCGGCAAAATGTCCCCACCAACTACTGTCTCGACATGTGGGATCCAACTGAGCGACCGGTAATACTCCTCGGCTCGGTTTTCGACATCATGTCACTTGGGAAATGGATACTTGACTGGACTATTGCGGTCCACGGCGAGGGCAGCGATCCAACGGACATAGCAAAGGACCTCTGGACTCTGATTATCCAGCTGGCTAGTAGGGTCAAGCAATCTGAAGACTTTGTCTCTCAGCACTCTATGAAGCAAAATTCGCGGCGAAGAGATAAAGTGATTCACATTGTGTATGGCTGTGCGGAAGCTGGAAAGCAGCTGATTAAAGACTTTCAACAGCTTGTTATGGACTGCGAGGAGCGCATGCTGGAGACATGGGGTCTGAATACTAGTCAGTCGGGGCAAGTTTCTGGGTCCGAATTTGTGAGGGTCCTCTGGAGCCAGGAAGGATGCTTGGGCAGAACGAGCGGCTTCATTCAGAGTCTACAGTTGTGGATCACCGATTGGAATCAACGTTGCAGCAAGACCATGATGTTGCTGTCACCAAGCCGATAGTCTTCTGCTCAATGATGGGCTGGGCAGGTAACCGAGATTTAGCTTTATGGATTTTCAGAGCAATGGAACAGATTAGTAAATTTGGAGTCATTTATCTTCTGTACTTCTATGAGTCAACATGTTATTTCAAGCCCAGCACGCGAGGGTGTCACTGCTTCCCCTCCTTTTGCATGAGAACACCCCAGGCATCATTGATCGATGCGGAATCTTTCATCGAGCTCTCCATGGCCAGCCCCACTTGATCGTACTCGCGTACTCTGTACTATGGTCCTTTCGTTGAAAACCACAGTCTGGGTGTTGCCATCACTACACATGGCTGCTGCTTGATGTCGTGTACAACTATCACAAATGAGCATCTTGGTCAACCCACAGCAAAGCCATAGGGAGACACATAGAAACACCTGAGCAGAACACCTCTTACTCTTAAATATTTCATGTACGTGTTGCTAATCCAACATTTCAGGCAATCGTAATCTTTGTCTCCGGGAAACTCTGAATTCGGTGAAGGCCGGTCGTACGTCTCACCAAGGCGAACTATGAAGATGGCCATGCATCTCCCGCAGCACGGGCGACTGAAAGGTACAGAATATGACGCGCTAATTTGGGCGATTAGCACAAAGTTGGAAAGGCGGGCCCGAATATTGATCCGGTCATCGTATTCGGAGCTATCTACGATGCCTGTTCAGTTCAGAAGTTTATTTTGGGCTTCATCAAGGAGCACCTTGGCCTCGACGATCCGGAACGAGACCCGCAGGTAAGAAGCTGGTTTATGAATATGAACTCAATATGTGAGCTGGAAGAGATCGTTGAGTGCGGCCAAGACTTGATCGCGTTTATCCGGATTATGTTCGGAACATTTGCAAAGATAATGTCATACAAGCAAAACTCTGCATACTTTATGACATGCCTCACATAAATTTAAGGAGATATCAGGCTTGTGAACACCAGCGGAACAATCTTTATAGGTCTTAATGACATGTCTTGTGCAAAGCAGTGTCAATGTGTGTTTTAGTCTGAGTGATGCAGTACTCTGGGGCTCATACTTTGTCATCAACGACCTTCTGAGAGACTTCGAGGGTTGTCTATGCCTCTCGAAGCTTGCCGTTTCGTGCGCACCATAGTGATAACCTCATGGCGCCTCTAGTGGTCAAGATGCTGAACGGCAAGCTGCGAATCTCTCACATGTTTTACGAATGCCGTCGCTGCCTACTACTTTGGTGCAGCTTGTCATTTTCCTGGGAGTGCTAGTTCGCCAGACAAAATCTCGTTTTCCTTGCTTGTTTGCTCACACATGGAACCGATCTTGAATCACAAGCGCCAGGTGTGACTGAAATCAAAGTCTAGACCGCTCAGCGACTCCTCAATGGTGATTCGCAACGTAGCCCATCGGCTAGCTTATACCTGACACCAGTGACTGACTGCCAAAGTTCTGAAAGCAGACTAATAGCAAACAGATGAGTGCAGTCACGCTTGTTCAATGGCTCAACCATGAGATGAGTTGGATTCCAGACGTGTGTAAAAGAACAAACTTTCTCTCCCCCAATTTTTGCGCCCATACCTACCATACAGTGACCTTTGTAACGGAGACATCTACGCTCGTGCGAACCTCAATATTTCACCAGCTATTCCGAATTTCCTCGAGCTTGCAAACAAGCTGCCGAATAAAAAATAGCAGGAGGGCGCAAAACTCGCAGAAGTGACCATCCATTCATCGAAGAACCGGAAGATCCGCGTCCAGAGCCCTCCGTAGGACGGCGGCACAGAGTCTACAGGAAACATGTCATAGTCAGTACTTGAGAAAGAACCCAGACTTCGAGAGCTCAAGGTATCTTACAAGGCTGGCTAACAAGTTCGAAAGAATGACGACGCTGAGTTCGTGCACAACGAGTCAGCAGAATATGCCCAGGCATGTGGACAACCGGTTCCTCCACAGTACTCAACACCATCAGCACCGTGGCCCTCGCCTCAGGTCGGAGTACCCTGGCCGCCTGTACCTCCGCAGCCCATGCCATCGCCGGTCACGCCCTATGTAGATAAATGGCCGTACGATTATCCCACAACTCAACTTCACGGACAACAGAATCCAGCTCAGCATCTCGCAGTGTATCCCCATGATGGATTTCAATACGCAGGATTCACCTACCGAGGACCTCCTCAAGGGGGATTTGCCAGCGTTCAACCTCCTTTTGTGCCTCAACAATCTCAGCCGCCCCACATTCCACGGCAGTTTTACAGAACAGATGGATGGCACAATAGGTATGTCTTTTCAGCCAAAGGTTCATCGCCATGCTAACTCATTCGCACAGTCGTTCAGAACAAGACAGCTCTGCTACCCAACATTCTGGATACAGACGGGGACAATTTGAATACAAACCAGAGTCCGACTCCAACCTCCCAGGAAAGCCGCGTCGTCACAGGCACGGGCACCATGCTCCTGGACCTGGGCAAGGCAGCACCGACGAGCCTCCATCGAGCTATGAAGACGCGCGTGCCGGTCGCAATCAACGACACCCCAGAGAATCCTCCAATCCCGAGAATGGACCACCTCGAGCCAGGCAGGCCACATCGGAAGACGCAGAGAAGCACAACATCCCGCTCGATTACAATCTTGAGGAATGGGATCCAGATGAAAATCCGATTACGCTTTTGGGCGCGGTCTTCGACGCCAACTCGGTTGGAAAATGGATTCATGGCTGGACACACTATAAATATGGGCATCTTGCTACTGAAACCGAGAAATCGGGTGAGCTCTGGTCCCTGATTATCCTGTTGACTCGCAAACTTCGGGTCTCCGCGAAATTCATTTCTGAGAGCGTGGGAATCGAGAGCGTCGAACAAGGTGTGGGCAAAGATATGGTGGAAGACTTCATAGAATCTGGTCAGCGTCGGATGGAGAAATTTCAAACGCACTTGAAGAAGTGTGAGAAGTCTATGCTTGTGTCGGAAAACAAGGGGAAAAACAAGGGCACTGTCCGTCTTCGTAGCGACGCTGGTGTGGCATTCGCGGAGGCCGCTTTCAGTTCTAAGAAGCATTTCGCAAAGACGAACGGCCTTATTCAAAGCATTGAGCTATGGCTGAAACGGTGGGATGCAAATTGCGCCATTGTCGTTGGTGTGAACCCCGATACCAAGCAGCCTACTGATGATGTTGTGGATGGGGACCGAGATTCGGTCCATCAAGCGGAAAGCGCAGTTCTTTAGATCGCAATAGTAACGCTTAAGATTCTTTTTGGCCCTACACTGAGAGATATCTTTTGAAATGGCTCCGTTCAAAGCCCGAGATTTCGTGTAAAAACCCGATCAGTAGTTGGAGCCATCAGTTGCCAGCCCGTGAAGGCACGTGTAGCCCACTTAATAATCTCCGGAACTCTCACATAGCTTGCCAGCAGCTTGAATCAAAGTTGCACATCCTGGTTTCGATTTCATCATATGGAAACAAGCTGGATGTTGTCACAGCTATGTCAAGCTTTTCAGCATTTGTACCTTGCCGTCGCTCGCAAAGAGCCCAAGTGACAGCACAAACCAATACTCATTGGGGATTATGTCTCTCCACATTGGGTCGCCTCTATCCATTTGTCTCTCAATTCACACAGTTGACTGCAATTGGGGCTGGCGCCAATGCGACTGTTCATAAGGATCTCTGCCCACGTCCTTAAATCTTGAGACTTGAGTTTGATGTGTCAAGGCGAAGAGCTACTATGACAGTGTATCACACTGTTCCCGAGGTAAGAGTTTAGGCTGACTGTGATGAGCCATCACGAGCAGAATATCTCGATTAGACAGTTTACTATGAGATGGGAACGGTTTAAATTTAATTCGACGTGATTTTCATGTCAAACATCACTTTAGACCGTGATTCATCTTCCATAATTGCTACCAGTGACTGCTGGAGGTTTGAAGGAGTCCAGCATCAGTCACCCAAGTTCAGTCACGCTCTTCAACGTTTCAACCATGCTGTGAATCATGGATATGACTGGTATAAAAAGGCGTTCGTTTCCACGTTTCCTACCCGGCTGTGTGCAGACATCGTATCGATCCTCAACAGAAAATTTCAAGTTTCTGTAAAAGTCAACCCAAAACCCGCGATTCTGAACTTTGATATCGGGAAGAAGAGACAAAAGCCATCATGACAAGGGGAAGGGAGACCCATAACGAAAGGCGTTCGCCATATGTCGAGCCGTGGGCGAACATTCCCCTCAGGGTACATCGTAAAGTTAGTCCATAAGAAGTCTCCGGAGCGTACACATCTTAAAACTCCTCATGAGACCAGCTGACGTAACTCAAAAGGACGAGGGCCCAGAAATCCTGGACCATGACGCGGTCGAAGATGCCGTGACGTTTGCGGAAGATCCCCAGGTACACACGCAGCGAGGTACCCCACAACAGTGGCAGGAAGGCTATTTCCATCCCCAGGGTGGCTTAGGGGCTCACAACAACATGTCAGCGTCTTCGTACATCGCACCACATGCCGCGCCGCCTGCGATCAATGGTGGATATTTTACGACTCATTTCGCTGGGCAAAACTTTGCCGGTCAGAATCCACCAGGATATCCGCACGCTCGAGCTCTTGGTCCAGGAGCTCCAGCAGAATACTACCAATCACAATCTCGTCCAACAGCAGGTCTTCCAGCAGCATACGGCTCAGAAGCAGATGACCCAGAAGCATCGGACATAGTAACAAACGATCCAGGAGCACACGAGTCGGCCCGACAATACCAGCATGAGAATCCTTTTCTTCCACGGCCACATGCCCCGACGCGTCGCAGTCACGATGTGTAAGTTCTTGCCAGCAGCCAACTTGCAGGTACACTGACTAGCGTGTCCAGTTATTCGGAAAACCTTTCCGTTTCTGCCGAAGGGTCAACATACAGACCAACACAGCTCCAGCATAGACCAACTGATTCTGCTGAGCGTCCCCCGAATTCCAGTTGTTCGGATCAGACCTCTCGATACTCGGCCCCTCAACCTCCTCCAAGTGATGTCTACATGCCGCCTCAATCCTCCACAGGATGCAGCGACATGGCTCTGCCGGCAAGACCACCTCAACCGCGGAAGGCTACCGAACAAGATGCGAGACGCCATAGGATCCCTACTTGGTACACTATTAAATATTGGGATCCAAACCAGAAACCGATCTTCATACTGGGCACTGTTTTTGACTCCAACTCACTTGGAAAATGGATCTATGACTGGACTTGCGAAAAGTATGGTCAATCAAGCCCTATGAAGGACGTGGCAGGTGACCTATGGCTTGTGTTGATCCAATTCTATGGTAAGATCAAGAGGTCTGAAGAGATTGTTTATCGAAACAGCAGGGCCCGGGATCCAGACCTACATGAAGAGCTGGATTTTCTGAATAGGTTCTTGGATGACGGCGAGGGCCTGAGGGATAGACTGCAGAGGCTTCTCAAAAAGTGCGAGGAGCCCATGCTCAAGACAGATACAAGGGGTACAGGTCGTCTAGGTAAGAAGGCTGGTCTCAGATGTGTGGAAATCTTGTTCGGTCGAGATGAGCTGCTGGAAACTACTGAGGAGCTCAATCAGAGTATGCAGAATTGGATTCGCGATTGGGATGAGGAGCGCGCTCGTGTTGAGAAGTCTCGGCAGCAGGCAGATTGATGGTAGGTTGGCAGTCGATCAGGACCCATGTGGTTAATTGAACGCCAGTCTTAGAGATTACCAGAGCCATCGATAGTTTCAGAATTAGAGAGCAATTTCTTGGAACCTGTGTTTTCATGTCTTCGTTCACGCCCAAGAGTTGCCTTCCAGACCCAGACCGGTGGGCAATATTTGTCGCTGTATTATATGTCCTCTTTCACACAAAGGCACATACAGTCCACGTGCTCGACACATAACTGTCATCAAGCTCTTCAACATGTGGTCAGATATCTCCAAAGTCGGTTATTTTGTTTGGTGAGATTCTCATTAAGTGACAGCCAGAATGTTGTCATAGCTGGGCCTCACATTGCGACCACCTGTGAGCCCTATCTACGCAAACGGCTCTGGTGACAGCACGGGTTGACACTAAGAGCAGGCAGGGCCATCCTTCATCAATCAGTCTCCTTGGCTTGTTGGAACATGCCGTTGGCTGAAATGGAGGGTTGTTGAACCGTCCGTGTACCGGTCTCGCAGTAATCGACCTGGACCGAGTCTATAGGCTCTGCCCAGATCTTCTTGTCGTTACCACGTCATAGTTATCGTCTCTTGAGGTATTAGACTTGGAATTCCCGAAGCATGCTTCCGAGAACTTTCATAGTGCCGAGTTCTCTTTGAGTATGAACAGGACGTCGAAATCCCCACTGCGCAGATGACTTAGGGGAAGCCCGCTTATTCCAGCGTCCCAGTGACTTCAAGCACACTTGGACTGTCTGCTCAAAATCGCGCTGCTGTTCATCCCCATTCCAGTCACCGAAAGGCTGTCATTCAGCCTCGCATTCTTTGTGGACTCTGTGATGAGCCATTAGAATGCTACTTAAGATCTGCTTCATCCTTTCGTATCCTCTTTTCCTCTATCCGGCTATCATCAACAATGTTCCAAAAACGCAGCTTTGTTGAGAACACCTTCTAGTTCGAAAATTCAATCATCGTTATGAGCAAATTGTAGGTTCATGAGCAGAGCCCAAGAATCAGCTACAAGCCTCGATCCCGACACTCTGAGGTCTACCCATTGGCCAGGATATGTGTTTTCGCAATGACAATTACGATGATGAGCCTCCACCAGCCCGTTCCAGGAGAAGTCATAGGCATGGTGGGGACATTCCTCTACAGTCGCACAGTGGGCGAACGGGGAATCGCAGCCAAGCGTGAGTCTCGGTGGGAACTGGATGCTGGTTGAGGCTGACCACAAGCGAAGAAACCAAGGTCGCCCACCAAGCAGATACCAGCGGTCGGAGAATCGAGAGAGACGGTCGTCGTTCTCTTACCCTCAGGAGCATCCGAGGCGTGGCCGAACTGACACGCGTCAGTCTCGCGGCCGAACACCTGATCCCGGCCCATCCCGGCCTTCACCATCATACCCTTCGTGGTACGGTGGGGGAGAGTCACACACCCATGGACAGGAGCGCGGCGAGCGTTCCAGGGGACGGAGTGGAACGCGGCGGCGACAAGCTGTTGAAGAAGACGCGATACGCTGGGGCATTGATACACGTTTGGATATGAGAGAATGGAACCCTGATAGTGCGCCACTGATCGCAAATGGCAACGTTTATGATGCCTTCTCACTTGGTTGGCGGCTTCACAAGTCCATCAGCAAGATTTACGGCCCCGGCACAGAAGAGATAGAGCTCGCGACGAGATTTAAAGAAAGCCTGGTCAATTTCTACCTTCTCCAAAAAGAGGCTGAAAAGGAGTTGAGACCTTTAAACGTGGACGAAGACGCCAGGACAACATTTGAAGATCTCATAAGCAGGGGTGAGGAGTTCATCGAATATCTTCAGGTTCTACTTACAGGGTACGAGGTTGTCTGCGGCGAGGACGCTAGCGAAGAGGATGCTAGCGAAGAGGACGTTAGCGAAGATTTCTTCATGGAGAGATTTCTCGGCTGTCATGATCCAGATCAATGGGATGCTTTACAGAACCTGGCGAGGAGGCTGGAGATCTGGGCACGGGATTATGAAACACTGGAGGCAAGACTACGTAGCAGACACAGTTAGACAGTGATAGCTCTCCAGCCCAGGCAAGGCTAAACTTTGAGCAATGACTTCGGATACAATGATGTTTCGCGCCATGTAAACCTCGGAGTGCATGTCTTTTGCCAAATAAGGATCAAGTGGTGACGGTCTATCTTTGTGAACACAATGTGGAATGTTCTTGCTCGCCTGTGAAGCATGCCATATCTTCCCATGGGCAGGGAAATGTCATTAAAACAGCCGATTTCCACTTCTCATGGGCCCTGAGGTCTGGAAGTTCATTTATCGTTCACTTTAGAACCATCACTTATACTTAACCTCAATCAATAGAGACTTGCATATCCCAATCTCTTTGCGGTGTCATTCTCGTATTCTCAATTGACCTGGAGGTGAGAAAGCAAATTGTAAGCGATTCCCACTTCAAAAGTCATTCACCATCTACGCAAGTCACAGCCTCAGCTGTTTGTATCAATGTGAGTAAGAATGGGAGGTTCACAAAAACTAGCGTATGGGAGTTGGCTGTGACGAGCCAACACCAACAGTATATAAACTGTGGTCCTGTTCTTTTGTTGAACACTGGTTCCGATTCCCAAAGAGAATTCAGTCGCCCACCAGGCCTTCACCCCAAGAAAGATCATCCTCTTCACATAAACCATACATAATTACCATCAAAGCAACAGGAAAGATGAGCAGATTGCCACTACACTTGTCTATCCCTCCCGAGCAGACGGCTGATGGAGACTGGTCCCCCAACGTGGCAGACCAGCCCCAAGATGACTCAACATCTCTCTCTCCATATCCCCGACCACCCATTGGTATCTACCATCAACCCACAGGCATGGACCCCCAGCTTGCTCCAGGCAGCAGCGGTGGACCTACATCTCACCCAGGAGGGACTGAGCATTCGCAGGTCCCTGGGTACGTCGCGAACAGGGGAGGACTCGACTCGAATATCGACTTTCTGAACACTGAGGCGAGCCGGTTCAGTCTCCTCGGGCAGTCCTTCACTCCAGATGGCCTTGGAAAAGTGATCTACGACCATGCTGCCAAATCTAACCGGGTTGGAATGCACAATAGGGAGATCGCTGCCAGATTTCGTGATCAGCTCAAATCGTTAGCCGATCATCTCGAGGGATTCAAAGAGGGTTACCGGTTCTCACGCAATGTGCCAGAGGCTAGGGCGGACATGAAATCGTACATCGATCAATGGGGATACCTGAGTCCAAGGGTGCAGGAGCTCGTCAGAGTGTGCGAAGAAGCCATGCGGACAGTTCCGCTCCATGAGGACGGGACCTATACACAGCAGGCCTGGGATGCGTTCATGAAGACTTTTCTTGGCGTGCACCACCTACCGGCGGCAACGCAGGACATCATGGGAGATATGGAACTGTTGATCCAGTACTACGAGCAGGATGGTGGGCAAGCTCTAAACCGGCTAAGAAGCCAGATTATTGTTCACTGATGTGGATCGAGGGTTCTTGCTGAGGACAAGCAAAGCTGGGCGGGGTGTGTGGAAGCGATGTCTTCCACAATTGATACCAACAATTGAATAAGTTTTTTGGGGGCCTTCTCCATTATTCATGTAGATTCATCAAGAATTGAACTGTCTGAGAGAACCTTATCGACCTTGCGGTGTGATTATGTGCACGGGTTACTCCCAAATCGTGAGAAAGAAAAAGGAGAAATGGGCGGAGAGGGGTTTCATTTGCGATTTATAGACTAAAACGCGTTATTTGGAAGCTGAAGCCTGTGCATAAAAGCTGCTTGGCAGTGTATCCGGTGCTCACATGGCGTGGGCGTCCTACTATGGCAACACCAACGACCCACGGTGAGAAGCGCTACCCATGCCCTCCAGAATGCTGTGTCGAGTGGTCATTACCGTAGATTACACTGCTGAGGTGAATGTGGCGATTACACATGAGCTGGACGAGGACGAGGGCGAATAGCCGCAGCTCCCCGGCAACGATTATAGCAGGTCATCACAATAGCAAGGGCCCAGGTGCCGCCTGAGCGGCTACAAGCTACAACTTGCAGTGAGGATAGCAAGAGTCTGCTCGATTTGATACGTTCCAAAAGGAGGCTCGAGATGAGTTAAGATCGTTGGGTATGACCGAAGACTCCACGACAAGACTTGAAGGTCTCATCAGCAGAGGCGAGAACTTCAAACCTTGTGTTCGGATATGGCTGACGACTTTCGAGGAACTTAGTGAAGAATTAGTCCTGGATGGAGTGCAATGGGGCAGTTTATAAGACACGGAAGGGGGAGGCTGGGAATTTGGGCATGGATGTACAACACACTGGAGGAGAGTCTTCGTGGAGCACGCAGATACGAACATTGATGGGTCTTCTGCCGAATTCATGCTGGAAAGCCTGGGGGATACTTTTCGCCTTATCATTAGAGCAATAGTTTCTAGAAGAACGATATTCGCACAATCTGAATGTTGTGATGCTGAGATTTTGCCATATACGAACGGAACAAGCAGCAACAGGGTCCATTGCGAACACGACCAAGAATGCTCTTACTCGCCTGGACAGTAGTTAATATATCCTCCCTTAAATGAGAATGGCTGTCAAATCAGCGTCTTGGTCATCTCCCACGAATTTTGACATTTAGAATTTAATTTGCGTCTGCTTTGGAACAATGGGTTGTACTTAGCATTCATCAAATCGAGACTGGCGATTCCCATCTCATCGCAATATCCCAGTACTTACGACGCATCAGGGGAGAGGGCAGTTTGCAAGCGGTCCCAAATTAAAAGTCTCTCATCATTGGCAGCGAGTCACAGCTTGGACTGTTTGCATATATGTGAGTAGCTTTACGAGACTCACGAAAGCGAGCTCATTGAGATTGTATATGACAAGCCAGCGCCAGCAGTATATAAGCCATGCTTCTGCCTCTCTCCAAATTCCTTCAGAAGGTAAAAGGCGTTCAACTTGCCCGGAAGCCATCGCGCGAAGGACGGTCCTCTTTACCAAAACAAAACAAAAACTTGTCGCCTGAAAAAATCAATACAAGTATGAGCGGTCACAGAGCAGCTGCGAGAATCATCGTCGACCGCGAAGAGTATAGGAGGTCCAGGCCCAAGGTGAGGTATCCTTCATCGCAGGATTACACGACCCAACCTCCAGGAAGTTCTACACTTTACCCTGAGGATAATTTCTCTTCATCTCAAACTCCGGAGTCGCCCCCCATTCCTCACCGTCAAAGGAACCGTCCTACGCTTCACCCCGAAGATGATTTCTTTAGACCTTCGGAGTCTTCTACACATCATCGTTCGAGACACCACCCTTCGCCTCACCATCGACCTCCCCATGAACACGCTTCGCGTCATACACAATATGAACACACTTCGCGCCGCTCTCGAGATGTCTACCCCACGCCTCAACCTAGACCTCGCGACGAATATTCTCCGCCTCGTTATCAATATGAATACACTTCGCCTCGTCCTCGAGAGACTTACCCTCCGCCTCAATCTCCAGCACCTTCTGCCCCTTACCACTCGAGTTATCGTCGCACGCCTCCCCCCACGCCTTACTTTGAAGCCCCTCCGGACCATTCGCCCACGGCCAGTCCCCGTCAGTACCATAATGTTGGCTACGAGCCTGAGGGAACTGGTGGCGGCAGCAGATCTCCGTCACCGGAAGACGAGACTCAGGGGTCGCCTTCCCAGGCGGAAGTCGCGATACCAATGGGACCGAGACCAAGTCGCGAGACACAACCCAGCCCAGACAAGCCCTTCCTCTTGCTGGGGAGCGTCATCGACGCATTCGACCTCGCCCAAAATATCCTCGACTTTAGCGGCTACGCCTACGGGTCTGGCAGCGAGACGACAGCACCCCTGGTCGCCTTCGTGAACCAGCTCACGAGCTACGGCGTTGGGCTCAGAGGTCTCAGAGACGGCGTGGAGTTTTGCGAGAGAGAGGAGATATCACGCAAGTGGCCGGATGCGCCGAGCCTCATCAACTCATATACCAGACGAGTAGCTGATTACAACGCCGATTTGCAAAGGATCGTCGCAGAATGTCAGGCAGCCATGCCCAGGTTCTACCGCGAGAGCGATGGATCCATCAAGTGGGGTGCCTGTCTCAAGTTCACCCGCGCTTTGCTTGGCAAACTGAAGGTAGAGAACGAGCTCATTGAGGCTATGTGCGGCTGGCGCTCGTGCTATGGCACAGACTTGGCACCAGTTCTACCGATGATGAGTGACGAGAAAAAGAGACTGGACGAGGAAGACAGGCTGAGATATCAGGAAAGCCTTAGCGAAGAAGAGAGGCCAAGTGAGGAAGAGAGGCCGATCGAGGACAGACGCAGAGGGAGAGAGAAGCATGTACCGAGGGAGGAGCACGCACGTAGGAGGCACGGGCACGGGCACAAAAAGAGGCACCATTGAGGAGAGGCACAGCAGCACAGGCAGCCTGGAGGGAGGCGACATCTTCCACAGCAGGTGTTATCAAATTTTGGTTTCATAGTCTTGGTCAGCAATATCACTTTCGTTGAGAGCAGGCCATCCCAGACCCTTGAAGTGGCCTCCGAAAGGTGACTAGACGCCCGAACACAGCCTATCACAGGTCATCAGAAGATTAAGGCTTTTCGTGTAACTTTGGTCAAGCGAAGTCCAGAGGTTCGAGGCCCGTCGAACCCGTTCAGTTTCCAGCAATCAGTGGTAGGCAACCTCAGCTCACGCTACTACCCGAAGTAGCAGTCAACAGGGAGACATCCAAGTTCTGAAAACAACGAACGTCCCAGGAAACGAGCACTATCTACCAAAACGAACAAATCGGTCAGAGTCTTCATATGTTGGGTCCAGTCTACTCCACTCCGGGGACCTTGGGACATCCTAGGTATGTAAAATGTACCCGACATGTCCATCACGTTGACCAACAGCACTCCAGAGGAATAAGTGTACGCCGCCAGCCAGGTAACACGGTGCTCGTGTCCGAGGGGCAGGTTCGACGTAATATTGCTGCCACCACCACAAGGGCCTCCTTCATAGATGATTTCCAGAGATGAGGTCTGCCCGCCCAGCCAGACACAGACGGATGCTATCACCACCCATCCACACGTATAACGACTGTCGTTATCATGTCACCAAGAAGACGCCTGGGAAGATCCAGCTAATCGAGATAGGATATCGTTCATTCATCCAAATTTATCAGAAAATATATATACCACTCTCGCGGCTTGTTTACCCGTTCCGAGTTCTACATCACAGGCTACATCCTCCATGTAGCTGCTCCGGCTTTGTCGAGAATATGGCCTCCAATGCGTCACGGACCTCAAATTCCTCCATGACGGCCCCGAATCTGTGTACCGATACTTGTCAGTCATGACGATAAACCCACATGTGTGACGCATCATATTCTCCCATGTCGTCAGGGGAATACTTGTAACTCACCCGTAACATCGGACCTTGCTGCCGAGCTCCTCCGTCAGCTTCACAAAATCCTTCTCATTCATCTCCCCGAGTCGAGGGTGGGCCAACACCATGCCCCACGCCATGACGGGCGTTATCTCGCCGTCGAGGTTCAGCTTCTGGCTCAGGTCCAACAGCGTCGCCAGGTCAGACTTGCTCAGCTCCCACGTCCGTAGTGGCCCGCCTGTGGGACCGTCAACATCCATGGCCGCCGAACAATTCGGATTGGCGGCCGCTGCTACCCCTGCCCTCTCCACAGCCGGAGGGCTGGGGCCGGCGTGATTCCTGCTGAAGTTGCGGCTGACGTTTGGGCTTCTTTGGCTGTTACTCGTTTGGCGACCATGTCCGTTGGTGCCGGGGGTGTTGTTGCTGTGCTTGTGACCAAACGGGATGTCCGGTGTAAGGTCTGAAAATGGCTCTGGCGGACACGATGCCATCAGCGCGTGGCCGCAAGGCTCGGTGCCACCGTTGGCGCTCGAGCGATCCAAGAGCCAGGGCATGTGATCCATGCAGGGCCTCTCAAGACTAGAGGAGCGAATCCGTGGTCAGCAAAGCATCCTCTTCCCGTCATGCTCATCACAACGCCGTTGACCGGATTAGTTGAGTCGAGAGTTGGTGTTGGTGGGTGTGATGGGTCCACTGAAGCGTGTCCCGCCGTGCAACGATCAGGGTGCCGATCTTGTGTGCGATGTGAGACAACGAGTGTGAAGAAGTGTGCGGGGTATGAGATGAAGACAGTCGCTAACGGGGAGGAGATAAATAAGCGTTCGGGGGGTTTTCGTACGATAAAACGAAGTCAACGCCAGCCTGATCATAGTCTATGCCCGGATTCCGCCTGGGTCCAGTCAACTGTGCGGATGGTGATTGTCGGTGAAGGCCCACAGCCTGCTGGCTTGGGCTCAGGCCACCCAGCGGTGACATCCCCTGCATGGCGGTGGTCGTGCTTAACGCGGAGCCCGGCGGCGGCGTGTAGGCTGAGTTCTGTGTGGATGCCGAGGTGAGGCCATAACTATTAGATCCTGACATGGATGCTGAACTGTTGCTACCAATATACGGGCCAACAGATGGGCTGCTGAGGTTGTCATCCATCATGGTCATTGCCCCAGATACTGTTAGTCCATTTTGTTGCATCAGTGCCTTGAGCGAACGGTTCTCCTCGGCCAGGCGATCCTTGTCTTGGCTGACATTAGAATAAACCTCTTTCAGACGAAGGACTTCATCCTCAAGGGCTTTGATGTATAGTTCTTTCCGCTCTCGATGGGTCCTAACCGAGCACCACTGTCAGCAGAAGCCCATGGACTGGTGGAACGCCTGCAGCCAACGCCGTCTTACCTTTGTGCCTGCCTGTTCAACTCTTGCCTCCTTGTCAGGGCGGGTTTGCTGTCGGGTTTTGGACCGCGGCGTTTTGCTGGTTGTCCGTCTCTGGTCAACTTCTTGTCTGAAGAAGTGAGTGATTTGAGGAAGCCAAAGCCCAGGGCGCCGTTCTTCTCATTGGGCTGCTGGGGCGTGGGATGTGCTGGTGCGCCGCCGTATGCAATGCCCGTGCCGACTCCGCCGAACTCGTTCTTGATGTTCGGCGGAGACATGGATGTTGTCGCCATATTATAGTAGGCCTGGTCAGACAGCGAGGCGACGGAGGGCTTGCGGCGGGTGTTGGAGGAGTCCTGGGAGGAGTGCGAATTTGACGGGGAGTAGTGGCGATGGCGGTATTGGTTCGGAGGGGATGGATATGCGGCAGCTACCACGCGTGGTCCTGGGTCAGCCATTTTGTCTCTCGCTTTGGGCGCCTTGAAGAACTATGATGACCAGTCTGTAAGGTAAGAAGGCGACGTGCGCCAGTATTCCAGTCTGGATATCGTCTTTTCGATTGCAACGGAAGAACGTTATCCGATCTTGCTACTCATTGGGATGGATCGCAGAACAGCGGTGCACGAGAGATGGCATCAGATACCGAGCGGGGCCTTATGCCATAGCACAGCACCAGGAGGATGTGATCGGGGGGCGATGTATCGCACAATGCGCGCAGTGGGAAGGAAGGGACGGAGAACGTACCGGGTGTGCGTGCTCTGACAGGATTAGCACTTGTTTAAAGATGCGATGAAGGAGGTGGAACCCAACCCGAAGGCAGGGCGGCGGCTCTCTGGAGCGTTCGCTGAGCCGTGCCTGATCTGCTCGAGGATGCGGAACGGTGGCAGCAACAGGCGAGGGGTTGTATTCGAGCAGGACCGGCAGGTGGCAGTGGCACCTCGTGGGTCCGGGTCAGGGTGGGTTGGGGACGACCCCGGTTTCGCGAATCGAATCCAATCGCGAGAAGGGACCAAAACGTAGGAGACGGCCGGGCCTGCGTCATGCAAAAAAAGACACCCGGTCGGGTTCTACCTAGGCGGAATATGCGCTAGCAGCAGTTGGAAACGAAAGCGACCGGGATTTGCGGGTCAGATTGAGCAGTAGAGCCGAAGCAGTTCGAAAGGGCGACTCTGTACGCAGGTGATGCGACCAAGTGCGCAATGCTCAAGTGCGCGGCTATGTGGCGGGCAATGGAACCGAGAAAGCCGACTGTGGTGAGATGACACAACAGGAAAGAGGCAGGGCGATGGCGAACAAGGGCGTGGAGGGCGTCGTCCCCTTATCAGGCAGACCGGTAGAGAGGCCGACGACCAAGGACGGCAGGGCTCGCCGAGTGGGGTGGTACGCAGTACCGTCAGTACCACCTACCGAGTGCGCGAGCTGAACGGGCCTGTCCTAACTTCTGGGCGTGTGGAGCAGCCGTGGGCGGCGCCAAGACGGACGGGATGGTAGCTGTGGGGGAGGGACCAGGTGAGGAAGCTGGCTTGTGAGTGGTGCTTGGATGATGATGAAACCTGGAGAGTGCAGAGCAGCGTCTGAGAGATGTTGGAGCCGAGCGATGCTGGAACCTAGATAACGTACTCGGCCCACAGCAGGGACGCAAAGGGGAGGGGGCAGTGCAGGTTTATGAACGGAAACAGGGGTATCAATCAATGTTCCTCGAGTTCCTGGGGAAGAAGTTGACGTGAGCTGTTGAGCTTTGGGCGTGGTTACTGTCGATGGTGATGGTGATGGTGATGATGTTCGCGATGGCAGCGGGCGGTGGCGATTGCTCGACGGCTGGGCGTGGGTTGAGGGCGGAAGTGGACCCTGCCGGTACTGCAGAGATCTACACGTTGGACGTTGGGCGATGGGCAGTGGACTAATAATAAGAATGGGATAGGCAAGACTTGGCGATAACGTCGGATGAAATGTGCCCGGATGGCGGAGTGAGTGGTGGTCAACTCAAATACAGACAGCGGACGACACCTCGAGATTGGCCTCGATCAGATCAAATCAGGGATGCAACGCGGTCTATGCAGTCAAGTTCGGATGTGCCGAGAACAAAGCAGGGAGATCTATGAAGTCGACATGATTTGAGGTTGAGGTCAAGGTCGAGGTCAAAACGAAGGTCGAGGTCAAAACGGCGGTCGAGCAGGACGGAGGCTGTTCGTGCTTTCCTTACTCCTGTTCTTACTCAGGGCCACGGCCACTGAGAGGAGGGGGAAGAGGAAGGGACCATGCCAAGGTTGGAGAAGGTGTACCGTCAGACTGCAGAGTGCAGGAACACTTGGTCCTGCCGTGACAAGCAGGAGCTTATTCAGCGGGCCAGACACGTGGGGCACCGCCAAGGTACAATGTACATCGGCGATGTACCGAGACACCTGTTACTGTACACGGCGGAGCAAGGCTGCTGCTGCTAACAGATCCAGAAGTGTGATACTGCCCGCCGGGCATGACGAAAGTCGTCGCTGCTCATGATGATATTCTACCTCCCGCTAGAACTGCCGGACCAGAACCAGAACCAGAACCAGAACCAGACAAAGGCAGGCCAAGACTCACTGCATTCCATCGTTTATGGTGTAGCCTTGCATCAAAAGGATCAACGTCTCACGGCCTAATCTTTTTCTCTCCTCGGCCTGTTCAGCTACCGCGTAACGCTGTGGCTGATCGTGTCTGACCCGGAGAAACACTCTTGTCTTGGTCGGGCGGGATCCACCCTTGAGACAGCAAAAGACAACAAGCCAGCAGGGGCAGAATCGCACTATTTCGACTAATAATACATAAGCTTATTCTTGTTGTCAGTCTAGCTGGCGTCCGAGACCTTCTCTGGTGCTCTCCATCCTCCGCTGCCTCTGGCCCCGACCAACTCAAAAAGATCCAGGCCTCATCAACTCGATGTTACGCTCCAGCCGACGGCTAGAGAGCCAGAGTCATGGTCCTGGCTATGCATTCACATGCTGTGGATCAAAATAGCTGATACAGCCGGGGGTCTTTCTCCATGAGAGTATTGCCAAGGTGATGGCCTAGTATGTACCACAACTTCGGAATGTTCCTGCCGGATCTCGTGCCGAGGTGGGGAAGACGATGAGATGAGGATGAGGCAAACACTAACACCCTTGACCACTCTGGGCCCCGAACCCTCACCTCAGATCAAAGCGGTCCAAATCTTGCAACTAGTTGCGTGATAGCGCCAGCAATCGTCTATCCTTGCCATTCTCATGAGCCTCAGACCCTCGGCTCCCCCGATCTCAGTGATCGTCTCAGGGCCATCTTAGCCTTGCGTCCTATCGCGCATCTGGAATCTGATGCGATCATACTGACGATCCCGCTGTCAACCAATCTTCTCAACCACTCCTGCTCTCCGTTTTCCTAGTTTCTCCCCTCTGGCGTCAACGACTGCCCACTCTCGAGCCACTCTTCTTCCCGCGCTCGGACGCGGCACTAGGCAGGCTCATGTGCACTCGAGCTGTCAAGCAGGAGCCGCGTTGACGTGACATCGCGTCCATCGCCTGCCCAATCTGTCCCGTCGCATCTTGACACTTGACAAGCTGCGACCACTACCCACAGCCACCAGTTGCCTGCAAGTCCTGAAACACGGGGCTAGCTGCCAATTCTTCCCGTCCCGGTTCCGACCTCAACGGCGCAAGCAGCGACTGTGATCAACCAACTTTGTTTTTGAACTGGGAGTGAAAATTGTGAGGTGAGAGTGTGCATGCTCGCGGAGGAAAATAAGCTTAGCACCGCGGTCCAGAGTCGTTGACGCCATCCATCCATTCCCCTCCCCACCAGTTTCACCTCACCCGCACACCGCATCTAGTCACACGACTCTTGTCCTCCAGTTCATTGTGCTCAGTGCCACGGTCCCCTCCGTCCTTTCCGGCCCCGAAACTCCCGTTCCTGGCCGGCCGACCCGGGCGCCAAGATGGCAAGCACTCTCGGCAGCCTGCTCGCCCACCTCCGCGGCATAGCCATCATCACGCCGTGGGCCCTCGCCCTGCTCATCCAGGACCTGCTGCTCTCGCTGCTCCTGCTGTTGAGGCCCTTCAACCCCCTCCTGGCGTACAGGCTCTCCAGCCCCATCGCGTGGTCCTGCTGGGCCGGCATCCAGTTCATCTTCGAGCGGCTCAACGGCGCCCGGATCGTCGTCTCCGGCGACAAGCTCCCGGCGGGCGAGTCGGCCGTCGTCATCGCCAACCATGTCGGCTGGAGCGACTTCTACATGATCCAGCACCTGGCCATGAGGGCCAAGATGCTCGGGTACTGCAGGTACTTCGCCAAGGCCCAGCTGAAGAAGGTGCCGCTTCTCGGATGGGGTCTGGTGGCCATGGGGATGCCGCTTGTGACCAGGAACTGTACGTTTTAACATTCCTTTCTATCATCACGTCCGACCATCATTGATGAGATTCTCTCATGCACGGCGCGTACCCTGTCCGCGAGTACCATCTCATGAGTCTCAACACCAACAACTATTCAGATCAACAAGCACATCACACACCTGTTGACATCTGCCTATGCACCCTCTCTCACTTCACAACTATAAAGAAGAAGAGTGAGGGGCGGCCCAGTAAGCTAACACCTCTTACAGGGCAACAAGACAAGCGCGAGCTAGACCGCGTCTTCTCGGGCATCACCCAGCACCGCTTCCCAACCTGGCTCATCTCCTTCAGCGAGGCCACGCGCTTCACGCCGCAGAAGCACCGCGAGATGCAGGAGTGGTGCGAGGCCACCGGCCGGCCCCAGCCCCGCCACCTGCTCTACCCGCGCACAAAGGGCTTCATCGCCACGGTGCAGCACGTCCGCGGCGCCGCCCACGTCAAGGCCGTCTACGACCTCACCATCGCCTACCGCCGCGGCTCCAGGTTTCAGCAGGCCCCGCCGTTCTGGGACACCATCCGGTCCGGCGGGCTCAGCAGCGGGCCTCGCGGGTACCGGTTTGAGGTAAACCTGCGCCGCTTCGCCATGGAGGACCTGCCGCTGGAGGATGGGGAGCTGGCCAAGTGGCTGGAGACGAGGTGGGTTGAGAAGGGGGAGTGGTTGGAGCAGAAGAGGGTCGAGTGGGAGGCCGAGGACGGGGGCAAGTAAAGTGGTGTGGTTACCGGCATTGGTTGCTTTACTCGTTATGTTTTAGCGAAGACGCAAATGTGATGATGGTGGAGGGGATAGAGGGGTTGTAGAAATCACTACTCGGCTAATCATGTTCTTGTAGAGCACAGTTAGCACAGAACGTCGGGGACGGCGAAGACTCTGCGCTTTACAACGGGGAGGAGACGATAGAGAAACGGTCCGGTTGGTCGTGATGAGGAGATCATGGCGGTACTGGAAAGATAAAGTTGCTTTGATGCAAAGGGATCGAGATGCTATGCTCGAAGTCACAACAGCAAGACACGCGTGCATTGCTTAACCGTCCTGAGTGAGACTGTACTTTCAAATGCGATCCACAGACAGGTTCGTCCACGTCTTCCGTCTGGTTCACAATCTTTACCCATCATTGAAGTCTGTAATCATGTTCGAGAGCGCAATGTAATTAATCGGTATTATTAAAAACGTAATCTGGTGCCGGGAATGAATTCACCCAGTTCCTGAATCTCGTCTCCTGCCTGCGCCTACATGCTTGTCCCGCGAGTATTGGCACTCTCAATTTTGAACATGGGAAAGGACCTAGTCACGACTGGAGATACTCTCTCACCTGCTCTTCACCCCACTCCCAGAATCTCTGCGCGGTCCCACCGCCTCCCTCGTTACTTGGCTTCGTTGCTGCAGTCCAGTCTTTTTGGATCGCGCCAAAGCGTCCAAACTTGAACCGGTAACTACACGAGGCTTCCCGCCCTCTCAAGAGTGACCTCGGGGCACAGGCATGCCCATAGCTGAGTATACGCGCCGTTGACAACTGGATATTTCATCGGGCCCGTCGAGCTCCTGAACACAGCACCTTGTTGCCGAAACAGGTCTGTGTTGAGATTCCCGGGATTTACACCGAGCCCGATAGTGCCATCGCTCTTGTAGCGTCTGGACATCTCCAACCCGTAGATCCAGTCACCTCCCTTGCTGGTCCCATAGCGGTACTTGGCGTTCTTGTTGACGTGGAAGTCTAAATTGTGCACGTCAACGATCGTGTTCTTGTCGCAGAAGATGTCGGCAGCAAATGAGCTCAAGAAGACAACACGGGCTGTGCCAGGTGCCGTCGCCTTGTCCTGTGCCGTCGCGACCAAGTTGGAGTCAAGAGTTTTGTGAAGAGGAAAGGACCCAGGCAGTCAACGCCGAAGTGCATCTCGTGGCCCTGCGGTGTCCGTTCCATCTTGTTTTCGGGCCCCATGTACCCAGCGTTGTTGAAGAGCACACGAAGCCTGGACTCAGCGGACATGAAAACCTCTGCGGAGGCTTTGATAGTGCTGAGGTCTGCGAGATCAAGGACGAGAGGCGCCAGTGCTCCTGAGGAATTGGGCACGGCAGCTCGGATATCCTTTATTGCCTGACTGGCCTTCACCTCGGTGCGTGCTGTTATGTAGACTTTGCCATTCTTCGAGTACAGCATGCGTGACAATTCTTTCCCGACACCAGTGTTGGCGCCAGTGACAACATGGACCTGAAACAGAGGGCAGGTGAGTAGTATGTCCAGAAAAGAAAATTTTCAATGAATGCAGTGTATTGGGTGGCTTACCTTGCCACTGAGATCTGGGACCTCCTTCTCCGTGAAGGTGGGCTTGGGGGGGAAAGATGTTGTCCAAACACTCGAGAGTGAGGGTGCCATATTGCGTCTGCTTGATACGAGATCGTGATGCAATGTGAGAGATTGGGGATCATTATAAGTACAAGATGCTTGTTGGAAAAAGATAAGCCTGGATGAAGACAGTACATTGCATCGGATGGGTGGCAAAAGAATGGTTACGGAGCCAGGTTTAAATCAAGGCCAGAACGTTGCAGGACTACTACTGTGAGTCTGATGTGCCAGTGTTTATGGAGACAATTAAACATACCCACTCTCCGCCACACCGTTGGCAGATCCTGCCAACAGTCTTCGGCGTTACAAAGGTGAGCTTTGTCGGTTGTGGCTGTTGGCGCTAGCGAGGGACACAGCGGTGGACTGATTTCTGGCTTCTGGCAGCCAACGCTCCTTCGCGTCGCTGCAAATTGGTTCGAAGCCTCGCCGACATTAGCATGCGATTGTCACAGTATTATGGACCGGTCATCGTACCATACTCCATGTGTGCGAAGATCTGCAAGAGCAGGCTTTACTATGTAGTAACCTGTGGAGTTTTCTTAATATCGTCTGCTACCCCATCCCAGCGTTACCAACGGACACAGCCTGTCATCGGGCTCCGAGAATATGTTGCTCCATATCTTCTCCACTTGAATTATTTATGGGAAAACTGTGCCTTTTTGGTACGGATCAGTTGTCCCGTTAAGGCTATGTGCTATTGAATATCTGTTGATCTCATGAAGGATCGCGTTCCCTGGATTGACAGTCCGCACCATGAGCAGATGTACTCCCACCACTGGATCAATCAATCTTTGAGGCCAATTACACGTGCTGAAAGAAAATCATAATAATGTTACAGACACAAGATTCCTGTTCAGAAATATTCTGAGTTCAAGATCTCTTCTGTGGTCGCCTCTTTGCTTGGCCATGGTTCTTTCCCTGGCAAACATTTTGCCTCTCACCCAGGTTTTCATATATCAACTAGTTGGCACGAATGATATGGCTATACAAGTTTGGAAAGACTCGGAACAACTGGGGGGGTTCATTTGAGGTGTAGTGACCATTCTGATGTGCTGTCGAGTGACAGGCCTTCGCTCACAGCCTCAAAGGAACCAACAGGAGGGCGGATGATGAAAATTGGCTAGCTCTGGCGTCGTTTGAAGCCCACAACATGCCGTATGAAATGTTTCTATGTGTCCCGATCACTGAAACAACATACTGTAGGCATGTATACGTGCATATCATGTGAACAGGCGTATTTCGGGCACTGGATGGAAACATCAAGACCGGAATGGCAAGGAATGGGAAGTGGGTCTTTCCCGGTAAAAACGAGCTGCCGATGTTGACAGTTCAGACATCGGCTCGCCTATATGCGCTGCTCACTGACCTTTAAGGACTGTTCTATAACATCGTAACATGATTCGTGGACTTGTGCCCAAGGAACGGCTGCTCGAGCGGTCGGTCAAGGGCGGATAGGAGCTGCTTTGGTGGCTTTCTGGGCAAGCTGGTCCCTGGTAAGCATTTCCCACATGTCAAAGCCGCCGCGGGATGGGCCGACAAGGAAATGAGAATGGGTAAGAAATACACAATGGGCATGGTTCGGGATGTGCTGGTTTTCGGTTCAGCAGCAGCAGCAGGAGGAGGAGGAGGAGCTTGGGACCCGTATCATTACTGCTGGGTTGGGTAGAAAGCAGACTTGCTTAAACAATTTCTGTTCAAGGATGACATTAGGACATCTGCTCGCTGTCTAATTATTTTTCCTGGTGATTTGAGCTACTGCATTCACTCGGGGAGGTCAGGAAGAACCCGTCGGCCCACGCCAATTGTGGAGGACTTCATGGAACAAGGTTAGAAAACTTAGAACATCTCCAGATGTTGCTTTCCTCGATACATTCAAATATTTACCGTGTTGACCGATTGATTTACCGTGGAGGTCGTTGCACTGTTCAGCCCTTTACCCTGTTCCACTACTGTGAATCTTACTGCATTCCATTCCACTGAAACTAAATTTCGTTGTAAATACAGATGAGACTGTCTATACTTCTTTAAAAGCATTTATTCTCTATAATCCCTTAGATTATTATGATTAGTTAAGTACATTTTGTTTTCACTCGTTTTCAAGACTGAACTTGGACCTTCATTGGCTCTCTATCAAGCAACTTCCCTATTGACAAGCATTCTGCCGGTTTATGGACCATACCCGAACCCACATGCTTCTTCGCTCAAAGTCAAGCCCGATCTGAAGTAGAAACGGCTTCCAGATGTCCTGCGCGAGACACGCAGCGAGACAGTCAAGGTAGGTCCTCACTAAAACATGCCGGGCTAGTTAGTCACAGACACATTCCACAGGGAATAGTCGTTATCGTGACCAAGATCTGCCATAATGATTCATCACATAATTGTCTTTTCGGAAGTCTCACATATACAGTGGCCGGTCAATCAACTGACCAACCCAAGTCCCTGTTGTTATCACGACTTGCCCGCTGTAGAAGACGAAGTTTGAGGCCCTATCTACATCAGACATAGTAGTTAGACAATCACAATATTCCCTCTGACACAGTGAAGCAGGCGATCAAGTAGCAAGCCCCCCCTCAAGAGCCAGCACCCATGACATGAGACCTAGTCTCGGTATCACGAGCTGCAGAGGACAGATATTTTGGCTCCCACGGTCACATCGTCAATGCTTGCCCCGTCAGAGGGCGCCGACAGCCTACCGGCGATATGAGAACGAAATGTGCACAATATCTATCCGAATGAGATCTGATAGAGCAAATGATTTGCGTGATTGTCTTACAAGTGTCAATCAATCCCACCCAACCTGCCTCCCTTTGACAATCATGGTCATGATCGTCAGTTCCAGGCCTCCGCAGCCGTCTCACCTCCCTGCCGGAAATCAGGAGGCCAGACCGTATGCCGAGTAGAGGCGCAGCTCGGGGACGAGAATCACAAGGCTAGATAGAAACTTGATGGACATCTATCTATAACACCTAGGCACCGATCCCATAAACTATCCGGCCTACATCCCTAAAGCGCCGGGCGCAGTTATCTTCCATCCCACAGGCAGCAACCAGATCCACCAGTCGAATTACCGGGAGGGTGATCCGACCCTCGAGCGGTCACACAGCATGAGCCTCCCCCCCCCCGTCCTTCCCCCGCGAAGCAAAAAGAAGGCAAAAGCTTGGCCACGAAGAAATGGGCGCCCGGGCCACCTTCTCAGCCCGCCGCCCGAGTCCACCTGCAAACTACCACCACAGCCGCCACCGTTACCACCCCAGTCTCACAGGGTGTCCACCGTGTTTCCCCAGCGGCCGCCCCGCCCGCCTACATACATGCATACTTACATAACTAAGTAAGCAAGTAGCCGAGACGTACCAGCCGACCGGAGCGGAGAGGGGGGGAGAGTACCACCGCAGGCGCGAGATAAAATTACTTGCACTTTCGCATGTCATGCTGGCCGCGAGGCCGGTTGTAGTCGATATAGTGGTCGTTGACCAAGAGGGAAGGAGGACGCGAATGATACGCCCCGGGCAGCAGCAGGATCAGAAACAGAGCGGACAAAAAAAGTAACTTGAAATACAATATTAGAAGAAAAAAGGCAAGCCCGCGGCTGCCGCCCCCTGGGGAGCACAGGCTGATGAACGAACAGCAGACGGGTGATTCCGAGCACGTAGGGTATCTATCTCATGCACAACATCAATAGCAAAAAAGGAAAAGAAAAAGAAAAGAAAAAGAAAAGAAAAAAGAAATCATCCGACCTCAAACAGCACACACTATATCCCTCCTCATCCCCTTCCATTCTATCCCATTCCTGGGCCAAGCACAAACCTCACCAAAACTAACCCCCCAAGCCTCCCGAGGCGACCCGCCCCTCTCCTGGGGCAGCACAACATGACACTACCCAAAGCCATCACCACAACCACACATCTGACAGGTCGGCCACAGGGTGTCTCCTCTCTACTCCCTTTTCCCCCACCAACCCCTGGCCCCTTCGTATCCTCGCATCCCGAGGGCCGTACATACATCGTCGATTATGCCAGTAGGAGTGGTTGCGCCCAGGCCTGCCCCCGTCCGATGTTCTCTCCCACATCTTGTCCCCGCCCGCCGGGGAAGATTATAATTGAAACGGATAAGCCCTACCAAGAAATGCGCAGAACAATCGCGCCAACTGCCGAGGGGCGGAAGGAGGAAAGCTTGACCTTGGCGGCGCGTGAGCCAAGCCACCCATCATACTCACCATCATCTTGTGGCACAGCTTGGAGACTGGTCGAACAGGCGCGGAAGGGGGGCGTGATGAAAGGTGGGTGTGCGTAGTTGCTCGGGGAAGGAGGAGCAAGCAACGGGCGTAGGCCTCACATGATAGCCCGCCCTTGCGCAAGAAGAAACAACAGACAAAAAAAAAAAAAGATATTGTCGAAGTCAGGAAAACAAGGCCGACTTCCCACCGCACGCGCGCCACATGTGTCACCAGCGCCACCAGGCCGGGCGGGTGGCTCAACACAGAACGAAGGTGGCTCACCGAGGAGGTGGTGCTGCGCGAGAGTGCGTGCATGCGTTGCGTAGAAGGTTACCTAACGTACAACGAGGCACGCATATTCCCCCATGCCGTCGATCCAGGAGAAAGGCGGTCCAGTGACCAGCCCCAGCAGCAGGAGAGCAAAATGCCCCGACGCCCGAGCACCCACTCATTTTTCCTTTTTTTTTTTTCTCGCCATCCAGAATGTCTCACGTCAAAGGCCCTCACATCCGGGACGTTAGCTCCTAGGTCCACCAAGTCCAAGCAAGCACCCGCAGGCTCAGGCCACAGACGCCGTCACCCACACCTTGGGGCCCGCAAGCGATCTTCCAGGGGTAATCCCGTCACGGCGGAACCCTACCTCGCCCATTCAGACAATGCCCAGCCGTCATCCAGCACAGGCGCCCACACACAACATACACGTCCCTACACACGCACTCACACAAACCGGCGTGCGTGACGTGCACGGGCTACTCCCCGTGCCAGAACCCAAAGTCCCAAGCGGGCCATTGCCGTGGACCAGCAGGGAAATCAGGGA